AGAATCGGTTGTGGCTGCACGCATTGCATGGGCAGTGGAGGAACACCAGCTTCTACCAAGAACGCACCTGGGTGGAAGGAAAGGCATTAGTGTCGATCATGCGATCCAAATGATCCTCGATATGATATATACGGCTTGGGGACACGACCGAGTGGTCTCCGCCCTGTTTTTGGACGTCGCCGGCGCATACGACAACGTCTCACATCGACGGCTAATCCACAACCTACGTAGGCTAGGCCTAGGCTATTTCGCCGCGTGGCTGCAGTCCTTCCTAACTGGCCGCTCGACACGTATCAGGCTTCCGACAGGCTACATCTCAGAGATCTTCCTCACCCCGACAGGAATCCCCCAGGGATCACCATTGTCACCCATCATCTTCCTAATTTTCAACACACCCCTTATCCTTGCCTGCATGAAGGGAACGAGCCACGATGACTGTGTGCGCGGAATCGGATGGGTCGACGATGTGGCTACCATCGCGGTCTCTGAATCCTACTACCGGAATGTGCAACTATTGGAGGGAGCGCTAAACAAAGCCAACGTCTGGGCGGAGCGACACGCGGCCAAATTTGCACCAGAGAAGTTTGAACTCATCCACTTTCGAAACCCACAAATTCAAGACCAGCCCACGGCCGACCAATACCGGATAGTTCAGCCAGGAGATGACGACTACGACGTGTACAATATCGCCCACGCGTTCCCCGCAGGCCACGACAAGATGGCCGTGCAAACCGCCACCCAAACGATCCAACCAGTTGAGCAAGCGAAATACCTCGGTATCTGGCTCGACAAGCACCTTTCATTCAGCATCCATCGACAAAAGCTACTCGCCAAGGCTAACGGCAGCCTCGAGGCCCTCCGGGCTATCACCGGCTCTACTTGGGGCACATCCCTCTACGCCATGCGTCGGGTTTACCAAGCGGTGGTAGTCCCTCAAATGTTGTACGGCGTTGCTGCGTGGTTCTGCCCCAAGGCAAGGACGATGCCATACGGGGAACGACTCAGGATCACCAACGAATATACCAAGATCCAGCGACGCGCCGCCCTCCTAATCTCTGGTGCATTCAAATCGACCAGCGCAGCCGCGCTTAATATGGAGCTGTTTCTGCTACCCATCAAGCTCCAAATGGAACAAATCATCGAGGAAACCGCTATCCGTATCCAAACAGGGCCAGAATGGGCCCGACCAGGGTGCCTGCGCCGGAATTGCAAGCGTGCGCCAAAGAAAACCAAGATCAGTGGATGGGGACCAATGGAAGCCCACCGATGGAAGCCCAAGGGCATCCTCAATATCCCAGGGGTCTGGGAGACCCGTAAAGCGTTCGTTCTATCACCATGGGAGGCACGGATCCCATGCGTGATCGAAGATGCAGAGGCTGCGCGAGCCTCGCACGACCGGATCGAGACAGAGTCTCTCTTCCAAGAGAGCCTCACGACCTTGCTACAAGAGGAAGGAGGAGGAAGCCCGACAGGACAAAACTGCAGCCCGACGGTTCTGTCCTTCACGGATGGCAGTGGATACGAGGGACAGGTCGGCGCCTCCGCCGTCGCCCCAAGGGACGGCATCTTCCTGCGATGATACTTGGGGACTCTCCAAGAATCCACCGTGTATCTCGCTGAGCTCAGTGGCATCGAGATGGCGATCGCCAAACTCCAGTCCAGCAAAAAGTTGGTCATTTTCTCTGATTGCCAGGCTGCCATTCAGGCAGTGCAAAACCCCAAGCGATCGTCGGGCCAATACATGCTCGGCCACATTTATGATCACGTCAGGGCCCTTCGATCGCACACGCCCACGTCCGACAAGATTCCCGTCGAGATCCGCTGGATCCCCGCACACGTGGGCGTGCCTGGCAATGAGACGGCGGACGTTGAGGCAAAGTTAGCGGCGACGGGAGGTGTGGAGAGCGGAACGGATCAATATACGTCCGACCACCCTCGACTCTTACTGGCCAGCCTCGCTAAAGGCCGTGTGCGGCGGCGAATCAAGCAGCGCTGGGCTGCTGAGTGGGACCGCGAAAAGACGGGGAAACCAACCAAACGGTTACTCCCTAAGCCGGACAAGAAAGCCTTGGAGCTATACAAATCTCTGCCCAAGCACTACACGTCGGTGTTGATTCAGATGCGCTCAATGCGCATCGCATTGAACCATTTCCTGTACAAGATCAGCGCTCGTGATTCTGATCAGTGTCACTGCGAGGAAGGGTCCCAAACACCGAGACACATCCTTATGCAGTGTCCGTTGTACACTGAGCAGCGTCACGAGATGCTGGAAAAGATCTGGGCACGGACAGATCTTGGAGCGACCGCTGATTACGACGCGATCGTCTCTCATCCGCAGGCCACCCGCTACGTGGCCGAATTTATGTTGCAAACAGGCCTTCTGGGTCAATTCCGACAGACAGAGATCGAACCAGAGCCAGACCCTAATGCTGAGCCGGATGCTGACGCTGATGCTGACACTGCGCTAGATCCTGACCCTGATCCGGAACTAGAAGACGACGAAACAATGGCCAGAGACAGCGAATCTGGCAGGGGAACAGGCGGCGAAGACGATGTGCACTATGACCGCCAAACCCTAGCTCAACCTGAGACGGGCTGGGACGACTACAACTGAACACGCTACACCAACCGGTCAACTCCACTCGGATACAACCAGCTGGCGTGGCCAGGAAACATTAATCGAAAGAAGCAAGCGGCTACACACTGTCAGGAGGTGGAAGAAGTTGATACAAAGCGAGGGCGATGAGGGCGAACTGAGGGAGGAAAACAGTGGGATCTGATGGCTGCGGGCGTATGGTTACAGTATTGGGCTGATTTTCAGCTATATTTGTTTGGCAAAACGCCGTTTTCCCTTTGTATTTACTATCTACTGCGTTTCGGGGGCGTTCGGTTAGCTCTTGTTTCCGCCGGAGGAAGCGCCTACATAGCCACTGCGCACTAGCTGGGCTGCATTAGGTTAATAGAGTTATCATCATCATCATCATCATCATCATCTTCGGCGCCTGGTACCTCCATCTCCGTAGGATAGAACCCAAGTGCTCGGAAATCGTCTCCGGATTGAAGGCGGGATGGCACTGGTATACCTACCACGTGGCTGGGATATAATAATCCTCCCAGCGGTCGGACTCAGCATCTTTGAAAGTATCGATAGTACCTTCTACCCCATCCGCCCCAACAGACCAGACGCCTTTTTCAACCAGTTTGCGCCAACAACCCAGCAAACGCTCCAGCCGCTGGGAGCGGTAGTAGTCACCGCCAAAAGGCTTATATCCATGCTGAAAGAGCTCTGAAAAGCGTCCTCTGTCAACAAGGGACCCATCGCTTTTTCGTGCGCCCACGCTCTTGTCCCAATCACCATTAAAGGTGAACGGGAGCAATAGCCGAAATCCCTCCTCGGCCACGTCACGGCCGTTTCTCTCCACTGCCTCAGTATACAGGCCTGCAGAGACGCGAGATGGTGTACAAGTTTCGGTGGACCTTGAATAGAAGTCCGGCAATAAAAATGGAGTTGTCGTTCTCGTGAGCTGGATAGGACGGTGGTCTCCGGTATCAGCCGGGAAAAGACACACTGGCGGTGCAGTGTACTCAGAGCGGGGTAATACGCTGAATGGCTGCGCTGCCGTAAATCCAGCCGAGTCAGCCGGTGGCAAGAGAAGGCCTGGAGCGATGTAGCGGAACTGGGGCCGTCTCGCGCGCGTTAGAAACGCACGTGCAAAGGAAGGGTTGGGCACTGAAGCAGCGTTTAGGATAGTTGATGCGACTAATGGCTCTGGATTGTCTGCGTTAGACCCGGAGCTGGGGCTGATCAGTGATAGTGGGTTTGGCAGCTGCGAGGTGCGCGCCTCAATAGCCTGACACAGTCGATCCCACTCGGCGATACACGTAGTAACTTGGGAATCGCTATAGGGCCGCCACTCCCAGGGCCCGATCTTCTCGAAGTCAAATAAGGCTGGCTCTTTATGAGGCGAAGCCACAACTTTTCCAATATGAATAAGGTCGATCCAATTGGTGAGGAGTGTCTCTAGGGGGTTCCAAACGTGTGAATTAGCCTCAACTGGAAAGCCATAGCCATAGTCATCAAGATGCATAAAGGTCGCGACGCGGTGGAAGCCTTGGTGGTAGATGACCCCGCCACCACCTTCCTCAGCCGATAAGCTCGTTTCCACAGCGTACAAGCGCACTAGGCTGTCAACGGGCTGATCGTGAATATCAGCTGTAAATTCCTCAAAAAGTGTTTCTGACCCATCGATACCCCATGCAAAAACAGAGAATGGGAGGTACTCGTGAGGATTATCATAAGGAAAAGGAGACACCATAGCGGTGTCAAGGAACGCCGCCAGTGACGGATCAAGCCTTGGACGACAAGCCTCAGCTTCAGCTTCATCACCGAAGGCCGTGAAAAAGTTGCTGTTGGCATTCAGAGTTGCTAGTGGGCGGCCTTCAGCGAGCCAGGCATATTGGATCAGGTAGTTGTGTAGAGCTGCACATCGTGCGTAGTCCATTCCTTCGAGATCATCTCGTGGAGGGTTATCTGGCCTGACAAGCAGACTGGTGATGTCCGGAAGTTGAGAAAGATCCATTGAGATGCAAATGGGGTGTGTGGCTGTCAAAGGGGACAATATCACAGCCGCTATTTAAAACACTGAGGCCCAGACTAGAAAGCTCGCTCGTCAATCAAAGACAACGTGGTACAGGGCTGCTCGTAATCAGTTTTACCGCTTGATTCCTTTCGATTCTATTCTGAAACACGCTAGTCTGTTTTTAATTTAGCTTATCGTAAAATCGTGAAACGTATTTTTAGATACAGTGCCAGGCAAGAAGTTCTCACACACCCTTTCCTCCGCCTACTTTACCGCCTACTAGTTTAAGCTACCTACCTGGCCACCCTGCCAACCATCAAAATAACCATCAAAATAACCATCAAAATAACCATCAAAATAAACAATCACCCCCTATTCAATAACCCCCTATGCAACAGGTAGGCTAGTTACCCCTTCTATTCAACCACCACTAATCAATATGCCTCGAGGACCAGAACTGTCACCCTCTACACGATCGCGAATCTGCAGCCTTCGTACCGATGCGACGGAGGAAGAGAAGGGGGGAAGGAGGCCAAGACAGACGGAGAAGGCATCGGACGAGATGGAAACCGCCATCGACGAAGCCGAGGTGGAAGCGCCGATATCCACGCCAGTGATAGATCTCACCAGCGCACCCGTGACAAGTGTGGCTATCGCTGCCCCAGAGGCATCGGGGCCTGCAAAGGGTCACGACAACCGACCATTTTTCAACATGCCACCACTACAGTCGGTCGAACGACCAGTCCTGCCCAACGAGGAACCGGGCTACCGATTCGGCGGGCGCACAACAAAAGAACTGTCACCACTCAGCCGGATACCAGTCAAAGTGAACCAAACAGCAACCAGCCAGACCAGGCAAGGGCAGAGGAAACCACCAGCGGAGAAGGCCAGATGGTAGCAAAGGGGACTACCGTCCAAAACACCGAAGCTGACGCCGGCGCGGAAGCTATCACCAACACCGAAACTGCCGCCAAGAGGCCTCCACAGCCGGCCAAGAGCTCTAGCAGCACCCAATCGAAAGCCGAAAGGGCCAAGGCGAGAACGGCTAAGGCGAGGGAAGCGAAGGCGAGGAAGGCCAAGGAGGCCCAGCTAAACACAGCCAGGAAATCAGCAAAAAGAACAGCAGAAGACGTAGCAGCGAGGGTGGAGGAGGCGAACAAGGCAAGGACTGAATCCGACATGAGTTCCATCGCCAGAACGGAATCAGATCTGAGCTCTGTGGATGAAATCAACATGAAGAGACTCGAACAACAACTTTCGAAAGACAAAGAACTCACCGCATCCTCCTCCTCCCTGCCTGACCAACGAAGCGACGAAGACTTTCAACCGTCGTCCCCACCGGACGCAGGGCCAACAAGGAAACGAAAACAGCCCCAGAGCGACGACCTATACCTGACCATCCGAAAGAGTGGGAACGAATGGGATGGCGCATGAAACCCTCCTAGACGGAAAGTCGATGAATCGACACGCCCACCGATCGATACAATAAGGAAACGACAACAGACTGGGCCGAGGAGACAACGTAGGACGACAGGAGCTCAAGGTCTATCAGTATAATGCGAACAGGTCGAAGGACATGGTGATGGCGCAGTTCCTGCGGGACCCGGAGGTTGTCAGCGCCGACATCATTGCCATCCAGGAACCATGGGAGAACACGTTCAAAGACGACACCCACCATCCGCTAAAGCTCACGCACGAGCTGTTGTACCCACTGTCGTCGGAGACCGGTGAACGGGCACGCGTATGCCTGTTCATGGCGAAGAAGATGGCGGGGTGGACACACGTAGTACACTCGCGAGACTGCCAGGAAGTGAGGATCAAGGCAGATTCGACGGAGCTCAGGCTATTCAACATATACAATGAGCAGAGGCGATGGGGGGCGCTCGACCAGTTGGAAGGGCTGCTGCCGTCCATCCAGGAGCAGAAGCAGAAGGGGATCTCATACCTAGTCATGGGAGACTTCAACCTACATCATCCTGCCCGGGGTGGTGTCGATGCAGCGCAAGATGCCAAGTCGGAAGACCTGCTAGATCTGATGGATCTGGCAGGGCTAGATCTCTGGCTACGGCCAGGCACAATCACCCGGGATCAGGCCGGCAGCCAGACAACGATTGACCTAGTTCTCGCGTCGTACGACCTGCGAGAGCGGATGGTCCAATGTGAGGTTAATATGGCAGTGCACGCCGACTCCGACCACCTCCCGATCCTCACCGTGCTCGAAATGGAGATCCTGGAAGTGCAACCGATCAGAAGGCGTCAGTGGAAGGCCATGGAGCTGGACAAGTTCATCAGCCGTGACGGAGGCTTATGGGACACCCTCGCATCTTGCCTCCGCACCAGACAGCGCGAGCTTGCTATAGAGCAGTGGAAACGTGAGTGGACGGGCAACGCCCACGGTGGAATCACTCGTAGGGCTATTCCATCACCGACCAAGGACATCTTCGCCTTACACGAGCGTATGCGACGGGCAGCCGGCGCGGTCCTCATTCAGATGCAAACGGGCAAGATTGCCCTGCGCAGCTATCTAGCCACACTGCAACGCTGGCGCGAGGAGCAGCTCGATGAGAACCCCGACCGACCGCCACAAAGATGCCACTTATGCGACCAGGGGAGTCAGGACACACGCCATGTGCTATTACTCTGCCTTCACCCACGCCTCACAGACCTACGGTGGAGGGTCCTCGGCCCTGACCGCCCACTATCTCTCACAGATTGCCTGATGCAGCCAGCTCTAGCCGTCAAGGCTGTCAAAATGATGTTACAAACCAGGCTACTGGGTCAATTCAGTGCCTTACCGACCACATACCGCGCTGCCCTTGAGGCGGACGCGTGATGCGCCAGCTTGGTCCTGGTGTCTATCTGCCTATAATGGCAGCGGGCTTGCTTTTGCGAGCCACCATCTCAGGCAGGAACAATGGCCTGTGTGTCTTCGGATACACAGGAATGACCAGGGGACGCATGGGTGTCACTGGGATTGAATGCAATACCACCGCAGTCGGGGATTATGACCATCCTTCTGTTTCCACCGGAGAAAACCCTGTCTCTACACGCTCTCCCCGTGGCCCTCAGCAGCCAGGGGTAGGTATGAAACGGTAGGTGATTTTTAACTCGTTGACGGGGGCAGGGCGATCGAGAGGACGTTCGGAGGGGGAGGTTTGACTGGCCGGTCGCGCGTGGAGATTGGGTGAAACTGGCGATGGGAGGAGCGGGAGTATGTGTGGGAGAGGGGGTTGGGGGGCGGAAGGCGGTCTAATCATGTGATCTAGTTTCCCAGCTAGCTATAGTGTCCTGCCGGCAAATCGGGCTCACCGCCTGACAGATCCGAGTATGAATTCATCATCATCATCATCATCATCAGCGTGCAACATGTTCGTGTGCGGCGGGATAGGCAGAGCATATGGGTATGGATGGGTGGACGATGTGGCAACCGTGGTGGAATCGGACTCACATTACGACAACATCCAGCTATTAGAGAAGGTGCTCGACAAGGCAGACCAGTGGGCCAAACGACACGCAGCAAGATTTGCACCAGAGAAATTCGAACTAATTCACTTTGTGAACCCAAACGTGGCCCAATCCGACAGCGACGACGACCGTATCATGCACCCTGACGACCCTGACTTCGACATGTACGACCCCACACACGTCTTCCCCGAAGGCCACGAACGGATGCCGATACGAAGGGGAGACCTCACGATCCACCAGTGGACTCGGCGAAATACCTCGGGGTTTGGCTCGACAAACAGCTCAAATTCGACACACACCGACAGAAACTCCTCGCCAAAGCGAATAGCAGCCTGGAAGCACTCAGGGCGATGACGGGGTCTACCTGGGGAGCCTCACTACTAGCCATGCGACGAGCATTCCAAGCGGTAGTCGTCCCGCCGATGCTGTACGGGCTCTCCGCATGGTACTGTCCCCTCGCGAAGGCTATACCAGCCTGGGAGTTGAAACGGACGGTCAGCCAATTCACCACAACCCAACGACGTGCGGCAATCCTGATCAGTGGGGCATTCAAATCGATGAGCGCCGCGGCACTCAACGTCGAACTCCACCTACTACCGGTCAGGCTACAGATGGAGCAGATGATCCAGGAAACAGCCATAAGGATACAAACAGGCCCAAGGTGGGCGCAGCCTGAGTGCCTAGGCCTGCACGGGCAACGTAGGCCGGGGGAATGGAAGAGGGGTGGATGGAGCCCTCTGGAAGCCCTCAGATGGAAGGAGGGAGGTGTGCTCAACACCAACGACATGGGGAATCAACAGGTCATATGGGAATGTCGAAAAGCGTTCGTTCTGGCACCATGGGAGGCACGGATCCCATGCGTGATCGAGGATGCAGAGGCTGCGCGAGCCTCGCACGACAAGATAGAGACTGAGTCTCTCTTCCAACAGAATCAGCTGGACTGTGCCCAGTCAGTCCGATATGTCTTGGTCTTCACCGATGGTAGTGGTTATGAAGGTATGGTCGGCGCTGCCGCCGTCGCCCCGCGTGAGGGTATCTTCGAACGGCGGCACCTTGGCACCACCGACCAGTCAACAGTGTACGTTGCCGAGCTCAACGGCATTGAAATGGCGCTTGCCAACTTCGTCAAAAGGGTCCAACAGGGTCCAGCAGGCTCCAAGATGATTATTTTCTCCGATTGCCAGGGCGCTATCCAGGCGGTGCAGAACCCAAAGCGACCATCAGGCCAGTTCGTGCTATCTCACATTTATAACCACGTCCGAGCCCTCCGATCGCTAACGCCCACGTCCGACACGATTCCCGTCGAGATCCGTTGGATCCCCGCACACGTGGGCGTTCCTGGCAATGAGACTGCGGACGTTGAAGCAAAGTTAGCGGCGACGGGAGGTGTGGAGAGCGGGACGGATCAACGTCCAGCCGGTGGTTCGGTAGGCACCTCCACCTCTCCACCTCCCGGCGGCCAGATCTTGCTTGCTTCAACGGCCAAACGTCGTGTGCGGCGACGAATCAAGGAGAGATGGGCACAAGAGTGGGCGAATGAATCGACTGGCAAGCCAAACCAACGATTGGTGAAGGCGCGAGACAAGAAGGTGCTACAGCTATTCGAGTCGCTCTCGAAGCCGTACACGTCTATACTGGTTCAAATGCGCTCTATGCGCATCGCACTGAACCACTTCTTGTTCAAAACCAAAGCGGTCGAATCAGATGAGTGCTACTGTGGTGAAGGGTCTCAGACGCCGAGACACATCCTGCTACAGTGCCCGTTGTACGCTGATCTGAGGAGGACCATGTTGGATGATATCCGGGCGCGGACGGATTTCAGTGCAACCGACTACGACGCAATCGTATCGGACTCGCAAGCCACCCGCTACGTGGCTAAATTCATGCTACAAACAGGCCTTCTGGGGCAGTTCCGGCACGTGGAGCCAGAGCCCTCAGAAAGCGAAGACAACGAACAGCCGGGATGACCTGGCAGGGACACAGGTGGTGAAGACGATGGGTATACGGAACGACAAAGCCACGGCCCACCGAGAGGTCGTGGGAGACTACATCGCCGCGTCGATAACTGGTGGAAAACATCAGACACCGATACCGAACCACGATCAACAGAGAACGAAGCAGGAGGGTGAGACCGCCATGGTGGGATGGCAGGAGATATGGAGATACAGGGGATGCAGGCGGCCGTAATGAGGGAGATCTGAGGGCCGTGGGACACACACAATAGGCGTTTGGTTACCGTTATTACATGGGGCTTGGGGGATTTACTATGGCAAAACGCCATTTTCTTATGTATCTACTGCTTCATGCGCAGGGGCTGGCGTTCGGAATGCTCTTGCTTCCGCCGGATGAAGCGCCTGCATAGCCATACGACACTAGTTAGGCTGCACCAGGTTAATAGAGTATCATCATCATCATCATCATCATCACTCCCTGGTTTCGGGGTACCCAGACCAGCCTCGTCAGCATATGGAAATAAATTCAGTTCTCCTAACTATTCAAGAAGTACAGCTATGTATGTAGAGGGCCATTATCTCGATTGCATCAATCACAAGGCCCCGCTTGCCGTCCTCCAATCGAAGCCCTCTGCTCCACAGGATCACTGTGATGGAGCAGGCGCGGGCCTATATTGCTTTTTTAGGATGCCAGACATGTGCTAGTACAAAGTTAATTGACTAATTTTGGCCCGGAAATTCCGTCCATATCATGTGATCTGTCACGCGGTGCGACTGGTCACTGAGAGTAAGCGGAACAGGGAGGCCCTAACTATTACCTTATTGTAATGAAGTCGGCGTGTCTGAGCGAATTCAGCACGAAAACCGGACATTCTGTCTCTCCGAATGGTTATTTCTTATGTAATCAATCAATCAATATTCTTATTCCCGATCTAGCTTCCTATGCTTACAGGTGCTATGCGGGGATTTGCGCCATCTGGTGTCCAGCCCAGTGTGCATGCGAAGGCTGCCCGCAGCGAGGTCAGATGGCTTACTACCATCAGACCAAAGAAAGTAGTACAAACGCAGCAAACAAAACATGACAAACAGGACAAACGAAAAGTGGCAGAAAAGAGAGCTAGGGAGTCACCGTCCCCGCGATCCAACGTCCCCGCGGCCGTCCTCAGGCAGCGTTGGTAAGGAAAGCTCCAACGCTACATGTCGAAATATGTGGAGTGGTAACTTACCACTAAGAACGGGCTTATTCATCAAGCGCCCAGGTTTCTTATGTTTTTGTATGTAATACTGGCTTACAGAGAAACTCAGGCTTTGTAACAGCCGAGTATCGGCCGCACGGACAGAAATACGTCCGTACAGCCAGGGGATAGCTATTCAACAGGCAATCCCCCTGATCTTCTATCATCATCAATCTGATCAATTATCTCTCGTCCCATTGGACATCTTTCATACTAGCCCATACAGAATCAGCCCATTCTGTCACTACAGTCAAAAAGCCTCATCAGCAGCGCCGCGCCATATGCACCCATGGCCTCCTAAATCAAACAATCAGTACTTTTTCACCACTAGCTTTGCGTAATAACTGCCGGTATCTTAGTAATAATCTTTTGAGCAACAGATCAGACCCCAGCTGTCTGACCTTCCGATATCTAATACCCTTCGGCCTATATCACTAAGCCAATCTCTCTCCCTCCACCCTCCATCCGCCGGCATGCACTCGAATCACCGAGTCCTGAATCACCAGATTGCCAGTTCGTGCGCTGCACTGCTCGCTTCCGACTAGCAGGCCTGAATCACCAGGTTCTCGAATCACCGAGCAAGCCGATCTATACCCTCTCCGCATACCCCCTCCGCATACACTTATTCGGCCTTCGCCGCTTTCGCTCGTGGTGGAAATCAAGGGGGCACACTGAGATCCTGGCAGTTTGCCCCTGGTCATGTGTCCCATCGGTCTCAAAGGACCACTGCCCTGTTTCTTATGTAATCAGTAGACCTCGGCAAGGACCGCCTAGGACCGGACCAGGACCGGGACCGGACCGCACTATGCAGGGCTTGGTCTTTACTTTTAGGACCGCTGGGCGGTCCTAATTTTTTTAGGACCGGACTAAAGACCGCAAAAAGACCGGACACATGATTTATACATGATTTATGTAGAAAATATAGCTATTTCGGGCTTTCGGCTGACTAATCAAATCTTTTTATGAATTTAACTAGCCTAAATAGGAAGGTGTTGGCAAAATTATACAACTCCGGGGGACCGCAGGGGACCGCAAAAGACCAAGGACCGGACCGCGGTCCTTAGTTTTTTAGTATGGTCCGGTCCCGGTCCTTGCCGAGGTCTAGTAATCAGTCCTCCCTACGAAATTGCCAGATTCAGGGATATAGTGATACAGAGTCCTGAATGCCGCTGATTGGCCATATGTATTACGTATTCCGACATTCAGGGACTGGTTCCATTGGCCAATCAGAGTCCACCGTAAAATTGTCCCACCAGGACCTCGACAATAAATTTAAAATCACCTTTTAATTTTCAGCTACGCGAAGGCCTTATTGACACTTAGGTTTGGTATAGCTCACTTTTGTGTCAATAATAGCCTTCATAATGTGAGGGGACAGAACTAGGGAGGAAACAGTCTACATTCACTAAGGGGACTAAAGCTGGAGAAGAAAGAAGAGAGAGAGAGCGGGCAAGGAGAGTCCAACAAGTTAATGAGTCACGGCGCCTGTCGCATGAGTTACCCTTCAGTTCCAGTTGCCATATAAGAGCTTTGTACGTTGGCAGTCTTCTCACCTGGATCGGTTTCCTTCCTTAAATAGCATCTGATGACAAGCCTTCTGATTGGTCCATTCCCGAATTCAAGCTCGGTCTCTGGAGATTGCAGTCCTCACACGTAGGTGTAGTTCACGCCAGCGGCACTAGTACCGCCGAGAGCGGTAACAAGGACATCGACAGCACCGCCGCCGGGTGGGCCGGTGGGAACCACTGCAGTTATCTCACTGTCGGAGGTCACCGTAAATGAGGTAGCAGCAGTTAAGCCGAAGGCCACTGTTGTGGTGTTGGTGAAACCAGAGCCACTGATAGTAACAACGTTCCCTCCAGCGGCAGGGCCGCTGGACGGGGTCACAGAGGTGACAACAGGTGCAGGTATATAGGTATAGTTCACGCCAGCGGCACTAGTACCGCCGAGACCAGCGACAACGACAGAGACACTACCACCACCGCCAGGGCCTGGCGGAACAACCGCACTGATCTGCGAGTCGGACACCACCGTAAATGAGGCGGCAGTACTTGCGCCGAAAAACACAACCTGTGTGTTAGTGAACCCAGAGCCACTAATGGTAACAACATTTCCTCCAGCAGCAGGGCCGCTGGACGGGTTCACAGAGGTGACAACAGGCGGAGGTAGATAGGTGTAGTTCACGCCCGTAGCACTGGTACCGCCGAGACCAGCGACAACGACAGAGACACTACCGCCACCGCCAGGGCCTGGCGGAACAACCGCACTGATCAGAGTATCGGACAACACAGTAAATGCGAGGGCAGCAGTTGAGCCGAAGGTCACTGCCGTAGCGTTCGTGAAACCAGAGCCACTAATAGTAATAGCAGTGAATCCAGTAGCAGGGCCAATCGTAGGGTTCACAGAGGTAACGACAGGTGCAGGTATATAGGTGTAGTTCACGCCAGCGGCACTAGTACCGCCGAGACCAGCGACAACGACAGAGACACTACCACCACCGCCAGGGCCTGGCGGAACAACCGCACTGATCTGCGAGTCGGACACCACCGTAAATAAGGCGGCAGTACTTGCGCCGAAAAACACAACCTGTGTGTTAGTGAACCCAGAGCCACTAATGGTAACAACATTTCCTCCAGCAGCAGGGCCGCTGGACGGGTTCACAGAGGTGACAACAGGCGGAGGTAGATAGGTGTAGTTCACGCCCGTAGCACTGGTACCGCCGAGACCAGCGACAACGACAGAGACACTACCGCCACCGCCAGGGCCTGGCGGAACAACCGCACTGATCAGAGTATCGGACAACACAGTAAATGCGAGGGCAGCAGTTGAGCCGAAGGTCACTGCCGTAGCGTTCGTGAAACCAGAGCCACTAATAGTAATAGCAGTGAATCCAGTAGCAGGGCCAATCGTAGGGTTCACAGAGGTAACGACAGGTGCAGGTATATAGGTGTAGTTCACGCCAGCGGCACTAGTACCGCCGAGACCAGCGACAACGACAGAGACACTACCACCACCGCCAGGGCCTGGCGGAACAACCGCACTGATCTGCGAGTCGGACACCACCGTAAATAAGGCGGCAGTACTTGCGCCGAAAAACACAACCTGTGTGTTAGTGAACCCAGAGCCACTAATGGTAACAACATTTCCTCCAGCAGCAGGGCCGCTGGACGGGTTCACAGAGGTGACAACAGGCGGAGGTAGATAGGTGTAGTTCACGCCCGTAGCACTGGTACCGCCGAGACCAGTGACAACGACAGAGACACTACCGCCACCGCCAGGGCCTGGCGGAACAACCGCACTGATCAGAGTATCGGACAACACAGTAAATGCGAGGGCAGCAGTTGAGCCGAAGGTCACTGCCGTAGCGTTCGTGAAACCAGAGCCACTAATAGTAACAGCAGTGAATCCAGTAGCAGGGCCAATCGTAGGGTTCACAGAGGTAACGACAGGTGCAGGTATATAGGTGTAGTTCACGCCAGCGGCACTAGTACCGCCGAGAGCGGTAACAAGGACATCGACAGCACCGCCGCCGGGTGGGCCGGTGGGAACCACTGCAGTTATCTCACTGTCGGAGGTCACCGTAAATGAGGTAGCAGCAGTTAAGCCGAAGGCCACTGTTGTGGTGTTGGTGAAACCAGAGCCACTGATAGTAACAACGTTCCCTCCAGCGGCAGGGCCGCTGGACGGGGTCACAGAGGTGACAACAGGTGCAGGTATATAGGTGTAGTTCACGCCAGCGGCACTAGTACCGCCGAGACCAGCGACAACGACAGAGACACTACCACCACCGCCAGGGCCTGGCGGAACAACCGCACTGATCAGAGTATCGGACAACACAGTAAATGAGGCGGCAGTACTTGCGCCGAAAAACACAACCTGTGTGTTAGTGAACCCAGAGCCACTAATGGTAACAACGTTCCCTCCAGCGGCAGGGCCGCTGGACGGGGTCACAGAGGTGACAACAGGCGGAGGTAGATAGGTGTAGTTCACGCCCGTAGCACTGGTACCGCCGAGACCAGCGACAACGACAGAGACACTACCACCACCGCCAGGGCCTGGCGGAACAACCGCTCTGATCTGCGTGTCGGACACCACCGTAAATGAGGCGGCAGTACTTGCGCCGAAAAACACAACCTGTGTGTTAGTGAACCCAGAGCCACTCATGGTAACAGTATTTCCACCAGCAGCAGGGCCGCTGGACGGGTTCACAGAGGTGACAACAGGCGCAGGTAGATAGGTGTAGTTCACGCCCGTAGCACTAGTACCGCCGAGACCAGCGACAACGACAGAGACACTACCACCACCGCTAGGGCCTGGCGGAACAACCGCTCTGATCTGCGTGTCGGACACCACCGTAAATGAGGCGGCAGTACTTGCGCCGAAAAACACAACCTGTGTGTTAGTGAACCCAGAGCCACTCATGGTAACAGTATTTCCACCAGCAGCAGGGCCGCTGGACGGGTTCACAGAGGTGACAACAGGCGCAGGTAGATAGGTGTAGTTCACGCCCGTAGCACTAGTACCGCCGAGACCAGCGACAACGACAGAGACACTACCACCACCGCTAGGGCCTGGCGGAACAACCGCTCTGATCTGCGTGTCGGACACCACCGTAAATGAGGCGGCAGTACTTGCGCCGAAAAACACAACCTGTGTGTTTGTGAACCCAGAGCCACTCATGGCAACAGTATATCCACCAGCAGCAGGGCCGCTGGACGGGTTCACAGAGGTGACAACAGGCGGAGGTAGATAGGTGTAGTTCACGCCCGTAGCACTGGTACCGCCGAGACCAGCGACAACGACAGAGACACTACCACCACCGCCAGGGCCTGGCGGAACAACCGCACTGATCAGAGTATCGGACAACACAGTAAATGCGAGGGCAGCAGTTGAGCCGAAGGTCACTGCCGTAGCGTTTGTGAAACCAGAGCCACTAATAGTAACAGCAGTGAATCCAGTAGCAGGGCCAATCGTAGGGTTGATTATAGTGATAGTAGGTGCGGTAGGCATTGTCGATCAGGAAAGTCGAGCGTTGAGCTCAGATCATTTAGTTGTGTAAAATGATTCCGCTGCCAAGTTTCATGTTCACCACGATTTATAAATACACATCAGAGTAAATAATGGACGCATAAAAATATCTATACTCACAAAGGGGACTCTCAGAGCGGTGCGCATTCCCGTGGTCACACGATATCAGCCATTATACCTATTTCTATGACTATGGCCCGTCTTGATATGCATTCCGCTACTGCCGCATTCCAGGTCTCGGCTTTTTCATTCGCTGATGCTGATGCCGGTAGGAGCTAACCCCATGACTATAGCTCGTGGTGACATACATTGCGCTGCTGCCGCGTTCCAGCTCTCGGCTTTGTCTTTTGCTGACACCGGTGCAGGAGTGACCTGACCTTATGGGCGTCATGTACATAGGGGGTCAAAAGTCTGTGGACACTTTAGAAATATATCACCCACCCCTTTTTTTATCCCACCTCCACCACCACATATCTCCACCACCATGAGGTCTTTTGGCACCGAAATTAGTGGTAATCGACCGCGTGGGGGTGAGCTTTGTGAATCAACTCGCGCTGCTATCCTTTACGCCCTCGAACTAGGCCGAAAATCTACACAAATCGCGCAAGATCTACACGTGTCGCGTACGATAATCTGCAACACCAAATATCACTTTCAAAAACGTGGAAACCTCAAAACAAAGCCCCGTCTTGGCCGCCCACCAAAGCCTACACCCTCTGAGTGTCGCTATGTGTATCGATTAGTGCGTCGCAACCCAATCATGAGCTATAAAGCGCTACGGATTGACACCGGTTTTAAAGTGTCAAAGTCGACCCTTAAGCGTACTGTGAAGCGCTACAATATCAAAAAATGGGTTAGCAAGAAGCGCATCTTTCTCAATAATCACGATCCAAAAATTTGACGCGCTTTCTGCCGAAAATGGGGGAGTTATTTACATTTTGACGATGTAATCTTTTCCGACGAATGTTCAGTTCAACGCAAATCGAATTTAATCCACCAATACGTGTTTTCATTCAAGTATGGGAGATATCGAAAGGATCTTGTGAATCTTGTCAATCTCGGCAAGGATATCCGGCAGATGGTTTAGGGATCTATCTGGCTTGGTGGCCGATCAAAACTCATGATCATGGAACGCGATATTTTTTCGAAAAACAATGGCTACACCGTCAATTCATATCTCGATACTCTGGAAGAGGCACCTTTACCTTTGTACGAACCTGGAACTATCTTTCAACAAGATCATGCTCTTGGATGAATGCATATCTAGGTCACCTTGACATCCGGATTATTGGGCAAATGTGATGGTGGATAACTGCTCTAGCAGCCACTATTACCGGCCAAGATTACAAGTATGCTACTAGAAAGTCTCGTGGGAAATGGTGTTTGACGAGATATACGCCGACGAATGCTAGGCTGTGTACTTTATCAATCTGAGAGGTATTTTATCACTAAGAACTAGCTGATTCAACGAGCACGCGCTCCGCCATGGATTTTCTGTGGTAAACTGGATCAATGTGGACTACTGGCATTGTACCAAGTAATATCTGTAGGCCCTGAGGCTATGAGATTCAACAGCGATCTCCTGGTTAGTTAATGCTAGGAAGAACCTTGAATGACCAACATGACAGAGGACCCTAACATTATTTTACCCAAGTGTTTAACAGTACCAAAGCTATTCGGAATGGCTTGGATTGCGCTCTGACAACCAGGTCCTGTTTCAAATCTTCCGGGATACACTCCGCCACCGCCGGAATTGCACTTATCACCGATTTGTACTTGGGGAACCGCTGTGCAATTCTTCCGAGTACCTGCTCTTGGGTAACGTGCGTCGATTGATCAATCTGTCCAGTGAGGTGAAGTTGCAATTGTTGAATACACTCCGTAAGAGAAGATTCTATTGCTCTTCGAGCAATTGTCATCGTCCCATGATCTGCAGCTTGAACTTGCGCTGCAATTGAGCAAATTCCTCCCTGGCTACCTTGGTAATTATTTAGGACCGACGGATCGAATAATGTTTGCTGCCTTTTCTAAGAAATCAAGATGGACGGTGGATAGTTATAATATTGCGAGACAAGATTTACCAGTCTATCATATGAAATAACGAAAATACGAGTCATGGTTCGGTGCGTGAATCCGTAATTCGGGTGAATCTCTTAAAAGGGACTGAAGCGGCATTTGGTTGTTGCTGGGCTTGATTGTTGTTTCAGCGGAACTAAGCACACCGTACCCAGCATTATGTTGATAGACGCCTAGCATACGTCGATCAGTTTAATTCCGTTTTTATGTGAGGGCTTGAGCCGAATTATCGGTATAGATCGTATCTTAATAGGGGGCGCAGTAATTATACCGTCTAAGCGTTCAGCATCTACAGGTTGAGATGTGGTGTGTTTGATGTATATTCTGGTAAAGCAGTATCAATCAATTCGAAGCAGAGCTGTACAGATACAGTTCAACCACATGGAAGCGCTGAGCAGAATCTGGCTTCAAAGTCTGCGGCTCATGAATGTTGAAAGTTGAACATACATTTCCTTGATTGACTGCGTCTCGTATTTGTCCAGATCTCAAATGGCTTACCATTAAAAGTGGACTTTTGACAGCACCTTGATTATTGCCAATCCTCTGCAAGAATTACTACTGTACCTCTTGCGGTTCATCAATACATCTCATAGATCAACTGAGCTTTGAGGCATCGTTCGATATTAAGGCGCTGTTGGTTCCCCTCACTCTGCATCTACAACTTCGAACAGCCCCCCTTTCTCCCCAAACAAACGAGTCGGCGGTTGCTTTTTCTGGAAGCTCCCTATTCCCATTACCAATGGACGACTAGGCGCCCCAAGTGCCGGCTATACGATACTCAGCATTTGAAGTATCATGGCCAATGGTGGATTTGGAGTTTACCCGACAATTTGAGGAGGCAGATTTATTGAGTGACACCAAGAGCTTTCCTGCAGCCCAGCATTTTAGGAAGGAATTATTCAAGTATAGCCCAGTATCCTGGAAAATTTTCGCAAAGCATGAAGATACAGGCGTAGTCACCATGCAGCTCCTGCGGGACAGCTGGAGCATGTTCAAAGGTCTGGGACTTCGGGATTGGGCTGATGAGTGCTGGATATTCCGTCGACCAAGATGAGGCTTTTCAGGCTATATTACAACAGACTGGCATTTTCACTGTTTTGTTTCCTCCGCCATATTCCTGACGAGATTGCCAAGTACGATTCTATCGTATCGGTATGAACACACACTCTGCCTCCGGCCCACCCAGACTAAATATACTAGGCTGTTCGAACCCACGATCGTTTCCTTTACGCCAGTCTCCTGCATGGTCTCACCTACGCAAAAAGTGGCAGTCCGTACCGGGCCTTGACACTTGATACGTCGCCTATTACCACATGGAAACGGTCTTTCAAAGCTTTTTTCCCCTTGGTTATAGAGGTCTGAAGTACAATCCAGAGTTCGGAGGTCCTGCACAGCTCTGGAGAGATATATCCATGGAAATCTCTCCGCTAGGCATGAGAATACCTCCGGGGATCATGTGTTTAGCACACACTACTCTGATACTTGGCCAAATGAATTAGGCGTCTGACTTAGCTATACTCAAATTGGATCCACCGTGTACCCAATTTATCATTGGCTTTTGAATATTTAGGATGTACCGGTCCTGGAACGCGGCGAGTGTGTATCTTTACCATTTGGCGAGTATGAATCAATATTCAGCCAATGTTTCCCATCTGTCGCTCTTTATTCGGATTGCAGATTATCTTGTGCTGGAAGTAAAAGAGGCAGTTTCCATCAACAGTGGAGTCAGATGATTTACATGGACTCTCGTCAGATGAGTTGAATTTGGTAGAATAAAGATGAATCAGTTCGTAGAGAAATAGATGGCCAGTGAATACAATCCGTCGACCGGTATGAATTGAATAGTCAATCTCCAGGTGGGGAGGACAGGTGTAAATGCGCACATCTGTCCGAGCTCCTTGACCCAAAGGATTTGCCAACCTCCAAAGGCCCTCTCGATGAATTCACGATGGCCGAGAAGGTCGCAACTGAGCGCTTCATGAGGGAAGCGGGCTTTGGACTTAGCCTCGCTAATCAACGGCAGTGCCGTCTTTTCTGGAAGAGACTGTTCGAAATGCGGAACCCAGGTGTCGACAAGATCCTTTTATACCGCACAAAGGAGTTCGATCGCTTCTGCAAAAACCGTTCCTCGGAAGATGGGGCTTCTTTGGTAGAGATGGTTCGGCTCTGGGAGGAAAGATATGGCTTCCATATTAAACAATTGGAAGAGCGGGTAGCTGAGGAGAGCAGGGCGATTCGACAGGAAGTCTATGGCTGAGCCAGCCGCTTGTCGCAGAAAGGCTAAGTATTCCAGAAATCGCATGGAACAGCGCTGTCAACCCGTGGCTTTCCAGCGTAGAGGAAACGATTTTTCAATTGAGCGGATCACATGAACCATCAGCTGTACCGCTTGGTGGGTACTTTGACTTACAGCCAAAGGCAGAATAACGCGGAACAAGTCTATTTTCGTCACTTTTCAACCCAAAAATGATGTCTTTCTCACGGTTTGTCCCATTATTTCAGTCCAGGAAGGAGATATTCTTGGTGGATTTGCTGGAGTAATTCGGTACTCCGCAGGCTGTAGCGCCGTCTATGGTATACCTGGTCCCAAAGAAAATCTTTGGCTGGATTACACCACTGTGACTGGGGTACTAACTTTATGAAGGTATCAGCTCCTGTGGGGGACTCAAATGTTCGTCTTCAATGGGAGCTCATCGATGAACGGAGTGAAGGAAAGTCGCGTCTCATGTGGAGAGTCTCAGTTGTTGCTCTTCGGGAAATTCAACCATTCGAGGAAATTATTCGCGCTGCTCCTCAAAAGGAACAATCTCTCTTACATCAGTCATCTGCTTGTGCAAAACGGGGATATACGAAACATCGGCAGACTTGATCTCGCCTATCTTCCAAAGGTCTACGAAATTAAACGAGGTCATTAGTTTGCAGAGGGGATGCTTGTATACTTCTGTACAGGCAGTACCACATTCAGATCAGGTCAAAATGCAGCAGCAGACTCAGTGTATCTTTTTACCCGACTTATAAAAAGATGTTCTGGCGAGGAAGAAGCTCTGTGAGTAGATGGTGAAACTGATTTCGATCCTTCCTGTACCAAGGCTACCTGCGCTTTCGTCTCTAGCAGCTTATTCACAATTTTTATGTCGCCCGGCGTTGGCATGCCGATGAGATCTCCATGAAGGACTTGTGGAAGGCGGCACAGAAGGATCCTCACAATGGCTTGTTTGTTTCAATGGAAGACGAGGAAATATTTTCTTAGGACTCAACTTTGGAAGTTGCAACCGCCCTTCGAACAAGAAACGCGAGGCAGCGAGCCTCCGATTGATTTTGTTTATGTAAAGCCAATGGAAAGAACAAAAAGTCATTTTGGTAGTGGAATACGCGCTTCACGAAGCTGAACAGGTGTAGATCGAAATTGCTTGATAAAATTATAAACTTTTCGTCTATTAAAATGCTGCTGGAACGCCCCCCAGAGAAAGTATCTGGATTCTTAGTACAGCGACAAGCAATATCATCTGAAAAACACAGATAGTTATTTACACATGTTGGAAGTCGTTCCAATACAGTATGCGTCTCCGGCTATGAGCCCTTGGCCTTCACCCTTCGTGTTGAGGGCCGGGTTCATCTCGTGAAGGCAAACCAAGGAGGTCCCTGCTTCGTTCGCCATGTCTTGACAACATCTCACTGCGTCGCCGGCTATCACAGATTAGCGACATAGAGAATTATCGATCAGTCTGCCAAAGAATTTGCCTTCTTAGGCCACTCTAGTCGTGATAGAACTTCATACACCCTTCCATTCTTTGCCGTGGGGGGATGTTGTTTAGACTGCGCCAAAAACCGCAATTGGGGGCAAACCTTGCCCCCAAAAACCAAACCGCAATGGTTGCGGTTTTTAAAACCAAAAACCAAACCAAACCATAAACCATTGCGGTTCCCCATTGGGGAACCATCAAAACCCATTCTTACATAAAATTACATAAAATTGCATAATAACTAGTTATAAACCAACTTAGTTAAAATAGCTTAGTAATTAAGATGTAGCCAATAAATATCAATAGAATATTATCCACGTGATATTTTAGCCCCGCTTTAAAAACCATTGGGGCCCCAAGAACCATTGCGGTTTCTAACCTAGAAACCAAAAACCATTGCGGTTTCTAGAATTAGCCCCAAAAACCCCCCCAATTGCGGTTTGGTTTTTTGCGGTTTTGCGGTTTTGCGGTTTTTGGCGCAGTCTAATGTTGTTTGCCTGGGAAACATGGCAGACAGGAGTATATTGACGTCAGTGGCCTCCAGTGAAGAAAACGTGCCGCTCTTCTCTGCTGGCTCCCTCTCAGTGCTCGTGATTACCAAATTGCGGATACCCATTTCCTGCTGGATAGAGGTCCGGTAAACCCAATACCGAAAATTGATATAAATGCTGAAGACACTTTGCCGTATCTGGATCGAGGCCAGCAGTTCTCATAGACTCGTTCCATACGTTGAAGGCCCACCCGTAAGCCTATAATTGCTTGCTCCGCCCGTCAAAAGCAAAAGCGAGGAGACTAAGATGATTGGAACCTGGAGCTGCTTGAGTCAGAGCACATCCTTTCTCTTTATAAGCATGTACCTATGACCTACCTCTAGCGATAATAACCAGCGGTCCAAAACGGCTCCGATGGTGGCGACGAGCAAGAGAAGAACAGACAGAGCTGAAAGTATACATGCAATATAATTTACCTGGGCTCGAGTTCGATATCCATGCATGCTACGCCCACGTAGCCACCAATAGAAACAAGACATGGCTAGGTAATCAAAACACAGGAGGAAGACCACCCGAACCACACTGAGGGGTACATGAAAGTACCGACCATAGTAGCAGCGACCTTAGCCAAACAAGAAGAAGCCACGCAAAGTATAAAGCAGACCACGTGAAGGTGAGAACGCTCTCCAGATCGAGGCTTCGAGACACCATCTCGTCTTTCAGAGTCTTTCTTGATCGTATATCGGACTATCGAGAGAGATATCTACGGATAATGTCGGTGTATACGTATATACCCCTAACCAATATCGTGCAGCTCATAGATACAAGCGCGTAAGGTAGGGGTAAGCTCTGGTGAGTGACCCATATCGTTGTATAGTAATATATATGTATGTGTGTGTGTGTGTGTGTGTGTAGCGAAATATAATATTATAAACGCGTCGCGTTGAATATTAGCGTGGTTTATGACTAGCTAAATATGGTAGGCGGTATCTGGCTAATATAGGCGGTGTAGTGGGTGGGTCTAGGGGGGTGTTAAAACTTATGGAACGTCACTGTATTTTGCTAAAATACGTATTTTGCTAACATAGGTATGTATTTTGCTAGCATATGTATCCTTACTATATTACCTTTTAGATACTGTATTTCTAAAGAATATTGTAGGACAGAACATACTATAAATGTTGCATAGTTTTTTACATACAGATGTATTGAAAATACTGTTAGCTAACCATTACCTAATGATATCTTAGGCTTATAGAAATCCGGCATGGAGGCGAGCCTACATGGCAGCAGGGCCACCTGAAAAGCATTATCGACCTCACACCCATATCCGACAGCCTGCTGGACTGTTTGAACACCTGCAAGATTGCCCGCGACGTGGAAAGCCAGTCCGACCACCTCCCAATCCGCATAGCCCTTGACATAACCACACCGCAGTTCACACAGCCAAGGAAACGTAGCTGGGTGGCCACCGATGATGAGAAGTTAACCCTGTTACACTTGGCAAATCATCAAAAAAGAAGAGTCCATTAACGAAGATATCGAATCTGAGGAAGGAAAAGGAGAGAAAGAGAAAGAGAGATGAGCCCTCTTTTGTTACTACAACACCGCCAGAACCTTCCATATCACGTGATCGTTACATGAATGTGGGCCCGATATTGAATGGCTATGCTAAGGGCACTCTGGTGGGATCTGGATCTGTTCTTTGGAAAGGTCGAGAGATGTATGCCACGGGTGAAATCGACGAGTATGAATTCATGGAATATATCTCCTAGAGGTAAATCGATCTCTCTATCTAGGAATAATAAGGTTGTCGCTTACGAATCCTTCAGTACGCCCTCTATAGGACACTGCAATACGATGGGAACTGCTTCTACTATAAATACCCTAGCGGAGGCCCTCGGTATGGCCTTTCTAGGATCCGCAGCAATCCCTGCTACGTATCGCTATAGAGCGTAATGTGCATACAAGACTAGTAAACGGATCGTGGATATGGTTTATATTGACCTAAAACCGAGCGACCTAATGACCCGCGAAGTATTTGAAAATACGATCGTGGTAAATGTAGCGATTGGCGGTACTACCAATGCCCCCATCTATCTTAGCGCCATCGCCTAGTATATCGGCATCGAGTTATCTATGGATGACTAGGACACGATTGGATCGCGTATTCTTCTACTATTAAATATGCAGCCATCCGGTGAGTATCTTGGAGAAGAATATTTCCGCGGGAGGTCTCCTAGCTATTATGGCGGAGCTCTTAGACGCAGGCAAGCTAAATAGAGATGCTTTAACCTGCAACGGTCGCACACTCGCCGAGAATGTTTGTGGCAAGTAATCCTGGGACCGCGCCGTGATTCGCCCCTATGATGATCCCTTGATGAAGGATGCCGGCTTTATTTATTGAAGGGTATATTGTTCGATTGTGCAATTATGAAGACTCATGTGATCTCCCCTGCCTTCCGCCAACGCTACCTATCAAATTCCGATGATCCCGAGGCTTTTGAAGGCTCTATTGTCGTGTTCGACGGACCCGAGGATTATCATAGTCGTATCGAGTAGATGCCGGAGATCGATGACTAAACGATCTTGATTATGCGTGGTGTTGGCCTACTAGGCTATCTAGGTGCGGCGGAGGTCGTCAATATGCACCTACCAGGCCGATTACTGAAGTAAGGAGTTGACGCCTTATTTTGCATTGATGGACGACAATCGCGTACGTAAAAGTTACCTTCTATCCTTAACGCTAGCCTAGAGGCTGCTGCCGGAGGAAATCTTGCCATTCTCCGAAACGGTGACAAACTTCGCATTGATGTACTAAATCGACGAGTCGATATCCTCATTAGCCATGAAGAAATCGCACAGCGAAGGAAGGAGGTGTTGTCCTAAGGCTATCCGTTGATTCCTAGCGGCACACTATGGCAGGAGATCTTCCGCCAGGAAACCGATCAATTGTCTAGCGGTATGGTGCTGAAGAAGGCTGTGAAATATCAACGCCTGGCGCAAACAAACGGTCCACTAAGGCACAATCATTAATCAATTTCAATTTCATTACATTAATTTTACCCAATCGCAAAATCGATGATTCAATTTTCGGTCACTCTACTATATGGTATCGAATATTGGGATTACACGTACTTTTGCCACATTTTTGATCTAGCGGTTATATTGCCCCCCGGCGCACTGGATGCGGTATAGAGGCAGGAGGTGCAGAGTGTTTTTACACGATCTTGCTGAAAATCTTCGCCTAACAAGTCAACTAGGTCGGGCGTCGTGAGATAGCGTGTTTCACAATTCTTTGCTAGTGATAATCTTATTTAGTTCTATCCAATCTTACTTGTGGCTTTTGGGATCCGTATAATCCTCCAACGAGCCCATTGTCCCATCCAATTAAGCTTTTCTAAAGATAAAACTCTCGGTAGTGGGTCCTAAAGTGAATATTTGGAGGGTCTCGGTCACCGAGCTAACGCCACAACGTTGCCTTGAAAATCTAGACGATCTTGGCGCAGGGCAGAACCGTCGGGCGCATTACCGTGGTGGGCTCGGTCATTGTGGGTGCAAGCATATTGGGTGAAGTCTGCGGCATCCCGGCAGGTAACAAACTAGAATGCCAACGGGCGCATTTGCTGCGACGGGCAATTTGGGATCCACCGGAGGATCGGTTAGCTGGTTAGCTAGGATGCTGGAATACGAGTACGGCGTCCGCTCCACGTGTTTTGTGGTGGAATATTGTGAAGGATTGTGTAACAGATCAAGCCTGAGTCACATGATTGTTCTCTTGAGCCAAAAAGACCACTATGTCAACCATCAAGGTTGACATGCTCAGGACCGACACATATAGTAGCGCACAGCTATAAACTTAATCCTTTACAGATTGCGTATTAGTCTAATATGGGGAAGCGTTGATATTAAAAGTGGTTATGTCATTCTTTATCATCACTCTATCTCGTTATTTCCTAATAAAAGATGGTGCCCCGTTTCCTTTCAATCTGAATCGATCAAGATTCAGTCCTTGAAAGAGAGAACGGTTAAACTGCATCAAAATTGTTTCACTATCTATTCGCCATCGATTCTTTACCTGATCGACAGGCTTTCTACCCCGACAAATAGTAAAATCGTTACAAATATCGCGCTGTCTGTTATCGATCCTGGGGTATTTGGGACTCTATATGCGTCGATTCCGTGGTTTGGAGCCTATTGTCTTGATAGTTACTATGAGCCCGATCTACACACGACTAGGAGATCACGATTTCAATCCTAGCCACGTTAGGGTTATATAAGAGATCTAAGCCAAGTTAGGCTAAATCCACGAGAGAGAGAACTATAGACGATTGGTCTTATCATATCCACCTATATTAGACTAATCCTAAGTGAGGCTATCTATTTTGGGAAGATACAGTGACGTTCCTTAACTTTAACCCCCCTATAAACCCACCCACTTACACCGCCCGTATTAATCCCATACCGCTTACCATATTCAGCTAACTAATCGAGATGAAGCACCAAGAGCATCTCTCCGAGACCAGGTCTAATATGGTTCAGGCAACTATTGACTCGTATGGGTGGTATATGGTATATTAGTGTACGTAAATAGCTATACACATGATACTCCCTCAATATTATGGAGGTTTCTGACTGCATAATATTATATAATCAGGGGGGAGTGGGGCAGGGTGTTAAAACATTTGGAACATCACTGTAAGTTATCTAGAGAGCGGAGTGCCCGATCCCTACCGTATCTAAGGCGTACAGTGGCACCGCAAAAGTTTGAGACCACCCCTTATGCACCGTCCTTTTCTGCCAGTGATTCAGCTGCACTAAAAAACTTCATAACATCTGATATTAGTATACCACCCATTAAAATCAATAACTGCCTACACCCTGTATGGTAAGATCCTTACACGCGGAGGCATATTGTAGTATTTTTGATTTTTGTGTGTAGCTAAACGTGAGCGCGATCCTACAGTATTACGCGACGTGGTGGGCTAGTCTATATTAGGAAGGCGGCGTCGCGGGCGGTAGAAGGGGTGGTCTTAAACTTTTGCGGTGCCCCTGTATTATCTAGGATCCACCTCGAATCGCTGGATCCTATATTAGAGCAATACATGATGGTAACAACTTGAAATGTAGCCTACGGAGCATTTTGGTCTAGCGGTCATATTGCCCCCTATTGTCTTGATAGTTAATATGTACTGTAACCTCTGAGTCATAGGTATTCTCGAGGGTATTTCGACCCCCTTGACCCACAGCAGTTTTAGAGAACCAGAATCAACACTCTTTTGACCTCATCTCTTGGTATTTCTCCTTTTAATTCTGTTGCTCCAATCAACTAGTAAATCTAGTGTATTTCCATAGCCATACAGGGCATTCGTGATAAGATGCTACACTCCACAATCTACTTGAGTAGTAACGATCGACACTACAATTGGATTTCATAAGATTTCATTCTTCACAATTCGGCGATTCGCCTATCGAAGGTGGACCAGACTAAGGAAAGGGGAAAATAGCCCGCCAGAGCTCCGGTTGGGGGCGGTTCGTGTGACCACCTGAATGGTCCCTGAAAAGTTGTGGAGCCAGGTCCCCCAGTCAAAGCTTTTTGGAATTGGTATAGATGGAAAGCTTAAACACTATGAAAGATAGTGTAAGTACACCGAATAACAAGCTTGTATAATCCTGTAGTCCCGACGGAGTCGCTCTCATCTACAGTGGCGTTCGTTTAGTTAGTTTGAAACACCCCTATTGATTACATAACTTTCTGCCATATTTTCTGCTAGCTAAAACCTCATATTCCACACTAAATACTAGTACGTAGAGGCAATTTTTAGTGTCTAAATAGCTTTGAATAGCTTCGAATAGTATAAAACAACAGAGGAATACTTGTATACTAGCGCGTTAAAGTGTGTTTGGGACCAGTCAGCTCAATATGGTGGGCGGTAGGTAAAGGCGGTCAAAAAGGGTGTTTCAAACTAAACGAACGCCACTGCAGATGAGGGAAAGTCAAGCCTGGATGAGTTAATTAGTTAAGTTTGAGGAGTGGTTATCTGTCAGAGCAATAAATGACGGTATAGAGTAAAAATGGTGCCCATTTTTGCCCGTTTCAGTCGTTATTTTGCCAAGATTTGGCCCCATTCTGTCTTGACATTATCTTTACCATATAAATACCACATCAGAATCATTAGTTCATGTAGTTCTCTCACCTATGACTCCCATTGTAGTTTATTACTCTCCCAGATTCGTTCATCATGGTTATCCTCACTCGAATTCAGGTAGCGATTCTCGGCTTAAGTACCTTGACAGCCGCTGCTCCTCATTCTGCCAAAACAGAAAACCCTTCTTTCTCTCTGAACCAGGTCAAGGTACCTGCTACCAAGACCACAAACGGTGCTGCACACTATGCAAAGGTGTTGCATAAGTATGGCGCTGAAATTCCGGATCATGTCCTAGCCGCAGCCGCAAGCAGTGCTGGTGCCCTAGCTTCACCCGTACCTACTGGGAGCGTTACTACTACCCCAACAGAGTATGATGTGGAGTATCTTACTCCGGTTAATGTTGGTGGCACTATGATGAATTTGGACATCGATACTGGTTCCTCTGACCTGTGAGTATCTATCTTAAATTCGCACCGAATAATTTATATATGTGCCTGCTAACGACGAATGACAATAAGTTGGGTCTTTTCCAATTCGTTGCCCTCCAGTGAGACCGCAGGACATGCGGTATACACCCCCAGCACCTTTTCTGAGGCTATGAATGGCTACACCTGGAATATTGGCTATGCAGAGGGAAGCTCAGCCAGTGGGAATGTCTACATGGACTACGTGGTTATTGGAAATGTTACTGCCACCTCCCAAGCCGTTGAAGCTGCGGAAACCATCAGCTCCCAATTCCAGCAACGTCCTTCAGATGGTCTCCTGGGTCTTGCTTTCAGCTCTATCAATACTGGTAAGAATCATATACCACGCCCGTGGATATATTACTAAGTTAGACAGTTCAACCTCAGTCTCAGTTGACTTTCTTCGACAATGTCCAGCCCGTGTTGGCTTCTCCAGTTTTTTGTGCGGACCTTAAGTATGGGGCACCGGGCGTATACGACTTTGGATTCATTGACAGCTCCAAATATACGGGACCGGTTACATACACTCCAGTGGACAACTCTCAGGGCTACTGGGGATTCACTGCCTCTGGATATGCAATTGGAAGTGACGAAATTATCTCAGGAGCCATCAGCGGTATCGCAGGTAAGTGGCTATTGTCATATTCTCCGTGGTTTTATCTCGGTTGACCCTCTGAACCATAGATACCGGCACCACTCTCCTCCTCCTTCCTGATTCGGTTGTCACACAATACTATAACCAGATCGGCGGAGCTCAGTACAGCGATTATTATGGTGGCTGGGTCTTCCCATGCTCTGCAACTCTCCCTTCGTTTACTACAGTGATCAATGGTTACGAAGCAGTTGTTCCAGGCATGTACTTGAGCTTTGCCCCTGTTGAAGAAAGAGGTGACACTTGCTATGGCTCTATCCAAGTTGATACTAGTATTGGTTTCGCCATTTTTGGTGATATCTTCCTCAAGAGCCAGTATGTTGTCTTTGATGCAAGTGGACCTCAGCTTGGCTTTGGCGCCCAAGCGTAATTCTGGTATAAAGACATTCCAAAGCATCGGGAGTGCTATGGGGTCTGTCAGGCAGAAATCTGTTCGACCAGGTTAAGAAGATCTGAAATTTCATATCTCTGGGGAGGGGAGAAATACGCGAAATCTCTGGCCTGCGATTTAAGACAGAATGTGAACTGGGGGATCTGACTTTACCACTCAGGCCAGGATTGTTCATCGAGCATCTGTCCTCTCTTTGTCTTCCATATTAAACAAGGTATAACATAGCAACGTCATTACACGCTCAGACCTTTGGTATTTCACAACATCAATGCCTAAACAACTTCACAGAAGAGTGTGGTCTACTTTACTTGAATACTCTTCATTAGTATGCCATTCTAACGGTTTTGTAAACTAGTTTTCGCCACTGGACTGTAAAACCATAGTTCCAGACTCACCTTGCTTAGACTTGGGCAGAACTGTTTATTATTTAATGATAATAATAATAAATATAGCTAAGTTGTTAGTTTATATAACTAAAAAATGAAGATCTTCGTTTAATTATAAAACTATAGGGGATCGTACAGGGGAGTATAAAGGACTGCAGGGGACTATGATGTGATCATAACTACTTTCAAAAAGACCAAAGACCGTCACGCGGCTTGCTTTTTAATCTATTGTAAAGTAATATACTGGAGTATTAACTGTAGTTAGAGTAGAGAATTAATCTTTTCGTTCCCCTCTAACTGCGCTTCAAGACGGTGAAGCCTCGATGGACTGTTTTGAAACGCCTCTAGTAACTGAGTTTCTTCCCAAGTGGCCACCTCCGGAAACGAAGGATCCCAGACACTATCGTCCAGTGGATCATTAGTTTCCTCAGCGAAAGATGCACCACGCTCGTTATGCAAGAAGGCCCGATGGGACGAACACCAGTGGCTACGGGCATCCCACGGGGGTCACCGCTGTCACCGATACTCTATCTTTTCTATAACGCTGACCTGATCGACCACATACATCGCGCCGCGACAAGCGGGGGCAGCGCTCGCATCATCCGGGCCCTGGTCACAGGATATATCGATGATATATGCATTCTGGCCTGGAGCAGGCGCGCGGACGCCAACATTGGACTACTGAAGCAGCTTCACGGCGCTGCAGAGAGGTGGAGGAGCAAGCAGCATGCATCGAAGTTTTCGATAGCGAAGTATGGACTGATACACGTATGGAAGAAATGCAGGGATCCCACTGCCAGAGGGGCCTACAGACACACGTTGATCCTCCGCAACCGCGAGAGCACCACGAACGCTTCCATCACCATCACGCCCACCGAATCGCTACGATATCTCGGCGTCCAGATTGATCAGTACCTCACCGGCGAGGCCCACATCGACTACTGCCGCGAGAAGGCTGCACGGCTCATCGCGGCCTTACGGTCAATTGCTGGCATGACGTGGGGCGTAACCACGCTCCAACTTCGGCGTATGTGGACAGCGGTTCTCTTGCCCCAAATTTCCTTTGGCTGCCCTGTGTGGTATACACAAGGTGCATACAATATGAAAACTGCCGAAAAGAAAGCCACGGAAACCATTAGATTCCTCCAGTTCCAAGCGCTTCATAAGATCGCCGGCGCCTTCCGCACGCCGTCAAGAGCCGCTCTCGAAGTGTGCCTCTATGTCATGCAGGCACCACTGGCGATGCAAAGGCTCGCCGAAGAGGCATGCCTGCGCATCCACACCTCACCTCTGCGCTCCACGATCATCAACATACGTCGCCCGTCAACGATAACGCATACAGTTGCTGGACGCCAAGCGCTGATCTCACCTCTCGCTCGCATCGAGCGGAGACATAATGGGAACGACGCCCTGTCGCTTAGCAAACTCGAGCTCATTCAGCCCTTTATGGTGGCGCCCTGGTGGAGGCCGCCGATGACCAGGATTGCTCCGGACAAGGATACGGCCATCAAGGAACACGATGCGATCACGCGGGCGCATCCCGAATGGGGCACGAACGCGGCCATCGCCTATACTGATGGTAGCGGGTCCGACGAGGGCGTTGCTGCAGCGGCAGCTACGTCCGTCGGTTGCCGCAGCGCTCGTCTCGGCACCCTCCAGACGCACACAGTATATGCAGAGCTCCTGGGGGTCGATCTGGCGCTACAAATCGTTGAGGAACACCACCGGCCTGGCCCACGGACACTCACAATCTTCGTGGATAACCAATCGGCCATCCAGGCATGCGCACAGCCACGCAGAAGTTCCGGCCAATTTATCCTACGCAGCATCACCAAAAGGATAGATCGACTAACACAGAAGGGATGGCATATCCGAATCCACTGGTGCCCTGGACACATGGGCATCCCTGGCAGCGAACGCGCAGACCTCCTTGCCAAGGAAGCGGCTCACGACCAAGGGGAGGAATGCCTGTGGGACACCCTCGCATCCTGCTTCCGCACCAGGCGACGTGAGCTCGCCCTGGATCAGTGGAAACGGGAATGGACGGGCAACGCCCACGGTGAAATCACGCGCAGGATCATTCCAGCGCCGACGAAGGATATATTTGCCCTGCACGTTATGAGGCGGGCAGCCAGCGCGGTTCTTATTCAAATGCAGACCGGTAAGATTGCTCTGCGCGGCTATCTGGCCACATTGCAACGCTGGCGCGACGAACAACTGGAAGAAAACCCTGACCGACCACCACAGAGGTGTCACCAATGCGACCAGGGGAGTCAGGATGCACGCCATGTGCTGTTACTCTGCCTTCACCCCCGCCTCATAGACCTACGGTGGAGGGTCCTTGGCCTCGACCGTCCACGATCTCTCACCCAATGGTTAATGCAGCCAGAATCGGCTACCAAAGCTGTCAAAATGATGCTACAAACCAGGCTACTGGGTCAATTCAGTGCCTTACCGACCACATACCGCGCTACCCTAGCGGTCGACGCATGATGCGCCAGTCCTGGCGTCTACCTGCTATCTAAAATGGCAGCGGGCTTGCCTTTGCGAGCCACCATCCAAGGCAGAATCTGAGGCCTGTGTGTCTTCGGAGACACAGGAATGATCAGGGGGCATATGGGTGTCACTGGGATTGAAAGCACCACCACAGTCGGGGGTATGACCATCCTTCTGTCTCCACCGGAGAAAACCCTGTCTCTACATGCGCGCCCCGTGGCCCTCAACAGCCAGGGGTAGGTATAGGACGGTAGATTTCATCCGAGCGTTTCGATTCGTTGACGAGACGATGGGGCAGAGCGATCGAGTTCGAAGGGAGTGAGGTTTAGACTGTGGCTAGTCATGCGTGGAGATAGGGTGAAACTGGTGATGGGAGGAGCGGGAATGTGTGGGGGGTTGGGGGGGCGGAAGGCGGTCTAATATCATGTGACCTAGTGTACCCAGCTAGCTATAGTGTCCTGCCAGCAAATCGGGCTCACCGCCTGACAGCTCCGATTATGAATTCATCATCATCATCATCACCAAGCGGTGGTGGTCACTTAGATGCTGTACGGCGTTGCCGCGTGGTTCTGCCCCAAGGCGAGGACGATGCCATATGGGGAACGGCTAAAAATCACCAATGAGTACACCAAGATCCAACGACGCGCCGCCCTCCTTATCTCTGGTGCATTTAAATCGACCAGCGCGGCCGCGCTCAATATGGAGCTATTCCTACTACCCATCAAGCTCCAAATGGAACAAATCATCGAAGAAACTGCCATTCGAATCCAAACAGGGCCAAAATGGGCCCAACCAGGTTGCCTACGCCAGAAGCGTGCAACCAAGGAGACCAAGCTCAGCGGATGGGGACCACTAGAAGCCCGCCGGTGGAGACCAAAGGGGATTCTGAACATCCCTGGGGTCTGGGAGACCCGCAAAGCGTTCGTTCTATCACCATGGGAGGCACGGATCCCATGCGTCATTGAGGAAGATGCAGAGGTTGCGCGAGCCTCTCATGACCGAATCGAGACAGAGTCTCTCTTCCAAGACAGCCTCACGACCATGATGCAAGAGGAAGGAGGAGGAAGCCCGACAGGACAGAACTGCAGCCCGACAGTTCTATCCTTCACGGACGGTAGTGGGTATGAGGGCCAGGTCGGCGCCTCCGCCGTCGCCCCAAGGGACGGCATATTCCTGCGAGGATACTTAGGGACTCTCCAGGAATCCACTGTGTATCCCGCGGAGCTCAATGGCATCGAGATGGCGGTCGCTAAGCTCCAGTCCAACCCGGGAAAAAAGATGGTCATCTTTTCTGATTGCCAGGCTGCCATCCGGCAGTGCAAGATCCTAAGCGGTCCTCCGGCCAGTATGTTCTCACTCAAATTTATGACCACATACGAGCTATCCGACCGCCGGAAGCCGCACAGCACACGCACACGCCCACGTCCGACTTGATTCTCGTCGAGATCCGATGGATCCCCGCACACGTGGGCGTGCCTGGCAATGAGACGGCTGACGTTGAAGCAAAGTTAGCGGCGACCAGTGGGGCCACCGGGAGGGATCAATATGTCTCCGACCACCCTCTACTCTTATCCGTGTCTTCGCCCACCCACACCGCTTCCCGGAGTGGGTGTGCCCCCCATCCCCGTCATCCCCATATCCCCGTCACATTTTGACGATTCGCCTACCATCAGCTATTTCAACCACACAACATGCCTAAACATGCCAATTTCGACGAATCTCGCCTGGCCGAGGCTTGCACAACCGCTCTAGCCCAAAAGAGACCGAATATCGCCAATATTGCGCGTGAATTTGACGTGTCTCGCACTACCCTCTCCGACCGCGTCAAAAAGGCAAAAGCGCCCACTACACCTACCGAATCAATGAAAAACGCCCTTACAAGCTATCAGGAGAGAGCCTTGGTTGCCTGGATACAGCAGATGTGTAATTGGAACCTACCCCCCAATACGCAGGTGATAGAGACGTAGGCGAATCGGGCGCTTACGCGCGCAGGCAAGGACAGACAGGTCGGCAAGATGTGGGCGTATCGCTTCATGGCACGCATCCCTGCACACCTAAATCTAGCACCTGTGAAGCAGAAGACTAAGGAACTGAGGCGAATTCAAGCTGAAGATGCAGGGCTTCTTCAGCATTAGTACGACCAGCTTGCGATTCTACTCCATAATATCCCTGCACGGTTAGTATACAACTTCGATGAATGCGGCTTCCAACCAGGTCAAGGGCAATCGCGAAACGTCCTTGGTTATAAATCATCTTACCCTAACCTTGCTGAATCTGAGCGAGGCGAAACTATCACTGCTGTCGAGTGTATCGCTGCCGATGGCTGGCAGATGGACCCACTATTCATATTCAAAAGTGGCGGGGTCTTCATGGAGTGTTGGTTTGATGGCAGCGATAATCTCCCACAAAACACTATCACTGCTGCATCACCGAATGGCTGGATTTGTGATGATCTAGCCCTTGCTTGGCTAGATCATTTTATTGAATCGACGAATAGCCGCGTGAAGAAGGGGAAGGGGGAAAAGCGCCATCTTATATTCGACGGCCATGGTTCGCATCTTACCCTCGAATTCTTACAAAAATGCGAAGATCATGATATCATACCATTCGGCTTCCTACCCCATTCAACGCATCTTTGCCAGCCACTGGATGGTAAGCCCTTTTTGAATTATAAACAGCAATTTCGGCGTGCAAATAACGAGCTATCGTTTTGGGGTGGCCAGCCCTATAGGAAATCAGAATTCCTCCGAATTATTAGCCCTATACGATCAAGGGCGTTTACCCAACGAATCATCCGCGAATCCTTTAAAGATCGAGGCATTTGGCCGGTTAATAGTGATCAGATCGTTGCGAATCTGTCAAATCAGATAGAAATCCCCGAGCTTCAGTCTGATCTTCGGCCGTATAGTTTCCAGACACTATCACCACCACCAACCGCTCTCTCGTCGTCTAGTGTTGAAATTACCCCACCAAAATCAATTGAAGCACTCCTAAAGAACCAAACAAAGATAACCAAATATCTTGATACGTTTTTACCAAAGATGCAGCGAGATATCACCAAGATCTTCGACCACCAGCGAGAGAAGCTTGAAGAGCTCCACATGACCCAGGATACAATCCAGCGAATCAGAGCCGCGCAAGAACCCCTACGTCGTCAATACACTAAGCGACAGGTTAAGCCGCTTAGCCAGTCAGGTGTATTAAAAGCCAGCGATGCGAATCGATCAATTCGGGCTAGGAAGGCGAAAGATATGGCTGCGGAGGAGAGGAAGCTAGCCAAGCAGTTCGAAAAGATCTATGGCTACAAGCCCACACAGAGGCCTGAGGAGGCTATTCGTAAAGCAGCTGAGGCTAAGGAGGCTGCGACGCGACAGGGAGAGCTATTTTTCTATGATAACTAGCTAATGCGTTGAAATATTGAGTGTTTTCATCAAAATGTGACGGGGATATGGGGATGACGGGGATGGGGGGCACACCCACTCCGGGAAGCGGTGTGGGTGGGCGAAGACACGGATACTGGCCAGCCTCGCTAACGGCCGTGTGCGGCGGCGGATCAAGCAGCGCTGGGCTGCTGAGTGGGACCGCGAAAAGACAGGGAAACCGACCAAACTGTTGCTCCCGAAGCCGGACAAGAAAGCCTTGGAGCTATACAAATCTCTGCCCAAGCACTACACGTCGGTGTTGATCCAAATGCGTTCGATGCGCATCGCACTGAACCATTTCTTGTACAAAATCAGCGCTCGTAATTCTGATCAGTGTCATTGCGAGGAGGGGTCTCAAACACCGAGACACATCCTCATGCAATGTCCGTTGTACACTGAGCAGCGTCAGGAGATGCTAGATAAGATCTGGGCACGGACAGATCTTGGAACGAGCGCTGACTACGACGCGATCGTCTCTCATCCGCAGGCCACCCGCTACGTGGCCGAATTTATGTTGCAAACAGGCCTTCTGGGCCAATTCCGACAGACAGAGATCGAACCAGAGCCAGACCCTGACCCGGACCCGGAACCAGAAGTCGACGAAACAACCGCCAGAGACAGCGAATCTGGCAGGGGGACAGGCGGCGAAGACGATGTGCATTATGACCGCCAAACCCCACTCCAACCTGAGACGGGCTGGGACGACTACAACTGAATACGCTACGCCAACCGGTCACATCTCAACAGTCGAGGCCAGCCTACGTGGCAGCAAACACCAATCGAAGGAAGCAAGCAGCTACACACTGCCGGAGGTGGAAGATGGCGATACAAGGCGAAGGCGATGAGGGTGAAGTGAGGGAGGAAAACAGTGGGATTTGACTATTGAGGGCGTATGGTTACTGTACCGGGCTGATTTTCAGCTGCATTGTATTGAGAAAACGCCGTTCTCCTTTGTATTTACTATTTTACTGCGTTTCGGAGGCGTTCGGTTAGCTCTTGCTTGCGCCGGAGGAAGCGCCTACATAGCCACTGCGCACTAGCTGGGCTGCATTAGTTTGATAGAATTATCCTCATCATCATCAGCAGATGTTAGTCGTACGAATATTATATAACTTATAAGCGACACAAGGTTTATTCGTATTGGTCAAGTGATTATTCGTGTGCACCCCTAGTTGGAAGATCCTCGTACGTTTGCTGTATTTCCTCCTACCTCCGTTTCTCTCAAATAGTGTTACGATAAAGGAAAGAGCCGGCTGGACAGTAATCAGGTGCATTCAACGAAACAACGAAGGTGAAGAAGGAAGAAACTATGGAGGTGGTGACAGCTATTCTGTAGAGAGCGCTTCCACACAAATGGGCCCCGTCAGGTTAGTCCGGTCGGCTGCTCCCATCCCCTACACGCCCATCAGGTGATCTCCGTGTCCATCGTCATATCATACGTCACCAATAGCACCTGCTTCCAAGCCTTCTGATTGGCCCATTCAGAATACAATACTAGCCACCGGGGACTATAGTCCTCACACATAGTCGAAGTTAGCAGCCAAGACGGGGCCACTACTGCCACCAGGACCGGTGACAAGGACAGAGTAGGTGAAGCCGGCAGTGCCGCCGGGAGAAACCGCAGTTATCTGATTGTCAGAGTTCACAGTGAAAGTGGCAGGAGTTAAGCCGAAGTTCACAGCCGTAGCACCGGTGAAACCAGAGCCGAGAATGGTTACCGTGGTTCCTCCAGCGGCAGGGCCACTAGTGGGACTCACGCTGGTAACGACAGGCGCAGGTATATAGGTGTAGTTAACGCTAGGGGCACTAGTACCACCAGGAATAGTAACAAGGACAGGTACAGGGCCGCCACCGGAAGGCCCAGCCGGAGCAGTAGCAGTTATCTGAGTGTTGGAGTTCACAGTAAAGGCGGCAGCAGTAGAGCCAAATGTCACAGCCGTAGCACCGGTGAAACCAGAGCCGACAATGGTTACCACAGTTCCTCCAGCAACAGGGCCACTAGTGGGACTCACGCTGCTGACGACAGGTGCAGCTACATAGGTGTAGTTAACGCCAGCCCCGCTAGTACCACCAGGGCCAGTGACAACGACAGGAACAGGGCCACCGCCGGAAGGCCCAGCCGGAGCAACGGCAGTTATCTGAGTGTTGGAGATCACAGTGAAGGTCGCAGGAGTGGAGCCAAATGTCACAGCCGTAGCACCGGTGAAACCAGAGCCGACAATGGTTACCGTGTTTCCTCCAGCAGCAGGGCCACTAGTGGGACTCACGCTGCTGACGACAGGCGCAGCTATATAGGTATAGTTAACGCCAGACGCGCTAGTACCACCAGGACCAGTGACAACGACAGGAACAGGGCCGCCGCCGGAAGGCCCAGCCGGAGCAACGGCAGTTATCTGAGTGTTGGAATTCACAGTGAAGGTCGCAGCAGTGGAGCCGAAGGTCACAGCCGTAGTACCGGTAAAGCCAGAGCCGATAATGGTTACCGTGGTTCCTCCAGCAACAGGGCCACTAGTGGGACTCACGCTGCTGACGGCAGGCGCAGCTATATAGGTGTAGTTAACGCCAGACGCGCTAGTACCACCAGGACCAGTGACAACGACAGGAACAGGGCCGCCACCGGAAGGCCCAGCCGGAGCAACAGCAGTTATCTGAGTATTGGAGTTCACAGTAAAGGTCGCAGCAGTGGAGCCGAACGTCACAGCCGTAGTACCAGTAAAGCCAGAGCCGACAATGGTTACCGTGTTTCCTCCAGCAGCAGGGCCACTAGTGGGACTCACGCTGCTGACGGTAGGCGCAGCTACATAGGTGTAGTTAACGCCAGCCCCGCTAGTACCACCAGGGCCAGTGACAACGACAGGAACAGGGCCACCGCCGGAAGGCCCAGCCGGAGCAACGGCAGTTATCTGAGTGTTGGAGTTCACAGTGAAGGTCGCAGGAGTGGAGCCAAATGTCACAGCCGTAACACCGGTGAAGCCAGAGCCGAGAATGGATACCGTGTTTCCTCCAGCAGCAGGGCCACTAGTGGGACTCACGCTGCTGACGGCGGGCGTAGCTACATAGGTGTAGTTAACGCCAGCCCCGCTAGTACCACCAGGACTAGCGATAATGACAGCAACGGGGCCGCCACCGGAGGGGCCAGGGGGAGTAACAGCGGTTATCTGAGTGTTGGAGATCACAGTGAAGGTCGCAGGAGTGGAGCCAAATGTCACAGCCGTAGCACCGGTGAAACCAGAGCCGACAATGGTTACCGCGTTTCCTCCAGCAGCAGGGCCACTAGTAGGGTTCACACTGCTGACGACAGGAGGTCTCCCCGACATTATTGATCAGAGTGGTTAAAACTTGAGAGAAAAATGTAGTTGTGTAAGTGGAAGCAAACTCACTGCTAAGTTTGAGGTACAGTAGACATGGACCTGGGAATTCATTCTCTTAAATACACATGAAAATAAATAATAAACGCATAAGAATGTTAATAGCCACAACCAGGCCTACATTTCAATAGCCGCACGATATAAGCCAGTTTGTCTATTTTGATGACAATGGCTTGAGCTAGTAAATATTGGAATGTTGCCGCATCCCTAGTCTGACTTTCCCGTTAGTTCACGCTGATGTAGGAGTAGCCTAGCCCCATGACTATGGTTCGTGTGGATATGCATTAGAATGTTGCCGTATCCCTAGTCTGACTTCCTCGTTAGTTCACGCTGAGGCAGGAGTGACCTGGCCCCATGACTATGGTTCGTGTGGATATGCATTAGAATGTTGTCGCATCCCTAGTCTGACTTCTTCATTTCTTCACGCTGATGTCGGAGTGACCTAGACCCATGACTGTGTTCATCAAGTGACTGTACGTACAGGTTCTAATGAACTTTAGTACCGAGATTTTGTAATCATCTGTCTCTTACTATAGACGTCATAGCCGGCGGTAACACTGTTATTATCTCTAGCACTGATCTTACAGGTACCACCGGTATTAGATTTGAAACCACTCCTAGAACTAGCTTCATAATTATTGATGATGCTAAAGTAGATACTATCATACGTATATACGCTTCTAGCGCAGTTCCAATCAATATTACTACTCAAGTGGCAAAAATAGGTCGCTTAGTTTCAGCTGCTAGCCGCTACCGAGATTTATCACTCCAACGTCTAGATCAATGGGTGGGACATTACAGTCCATCGCTGGGGTAGGTTTGATCAATACGCTTAATCCTTTTTGGGGCACAGCTCTAGTAACTGCCTTTACAGTTATCTCTAACAATTCGGTAACCGTAATTCTACTGAACTAGCAAAGGCTATTACTATGACAGTTAACACCGATGCTACTAACCGTAACGGTTTATTATTCTAGTATATTGCCGCACCGACACTTAGTAGCTTATCGCCTACTAGTGAAGCCACTATTCCTGGCAATAATATAACTTACTAAACCGGGGTTCACAAGAGCTACTAATGTAGTGTTATTTGGATCTAACCGAGATGTGTTCACCATCCTTAGTAACAGCTGAATCATGTAGTTACACCTGCTGGCTTTATTCGTTTTTGTGAACCATGAACGAACTAGTGGGATTCATACTTGTAATTAAACTTAAAGGACCCTGTCGGAAATTAAATCACTGACTAGTCATAGACGCAATGCGGAGCTATTGTTTGACCCAGAGTTTATTTTGCTTTATTGTAGTATTATTTTCGGGAATCGGAGAATAACACAAGGTCAAATGAAGGCATGACTCTTGTACTAGCTTTCCCTAGGAACAATTCAACTATAATGTGGTGTCTGCCTATTTAGGACTAGTGGCATATTCCTGTTTTCTTGTTCAGCCTTACTAGCTAGGGTTGGAAAGCTACATAGTTAGGCGATTGGTGGGATTTGTGAACCGCCAATTGCAAGGGGAGTCCCATTTTATGTCACACGATGTACAAGAGGTCGGTCATATTATCCGGCTAATCAGGTGCTATGTTGTCCCCTCGCATATTTAAAGCACGCAGTTTGGAACCCAGGAAATAATCCAGGAGAATAGATTGATCGGCCAAACCAACCATTATCATGTTTCTGAACCATACGCGTACAGCTCCCATCATGTAATGGAATAATAAAGATCTCTCTTATTAACCAAGTCTGGATGTGCTCGACAATTTAAAGGGAGAGAACTCGACTAATATAATATAGGAAATATAATTGATTGTATCGGAGTAGTCAGAATGCTGTATAGTTAAGTCTAGGTCATACGGAATGGCTTACAGATGGTCTATGCATAGTGACGCCTAACTTGTAGCGTTCTGCAACATGGAATAAATACTAGAACTGTAGAAGGAAAGACAGGAAACGTACGAGGATCTTCTAACTAGGGGTGCACACGAATAATCACTTAACGAATACGAATAAACCTTGACGCTTATATAATGTTCGTACGAATAAAATCTACCTTATTCGTAAAGTATTCGTAAAAATCACCTGGTACTAGTTATCCACATATAGACTGCAATGTATCCTCTCTATTGGATATTGGGTCCAATACCATATCCGCAATTTGAAGATAATGGATATTACTTCTATACTATATCCTCAATGAGGATATGAGGATATGAGGATATTTTGCGGATATCCGCACTAGTATAACTCTCGCTTAGTTATCTATTTGGAAGTGGTCATTTGCCTCTTATACAGCTTATTAATTTATCTTTCAGGAGAAAAAGAATGAGTCCTGACCATACTACCAGCGTTATTTACATATCTTATTCCTTAATGAAATTTTGAGAAATAGTCTTGTATTAAGTAATATTTATTGCCTTTATTCTTGCTTGTGGTATAAATCTTATTTTCAGAGTGTATTAGGAATTTAGGGGATAGAGGTGAGTTTTTGTTATTCTATTTTACTTCGCTATAGAAATATATATTTACTCTATGGCGAGAACGAGTTTATTAAAGGCTAAAAAAGCTCTAGAAGTAAGTAAACTTCGGATAGCGCCTAGTTATTAGTAATCTCTAGAAAGGCGTATATTTCAGCTAAAGTAGTCAGAAAGCAGAAATGGTGAGATATTATTAGCTCATGCTTTCTGAAATAATTAGGTACAAAAGGAGCGGACGATTGTCTATTAAGGGACAATCCACAAACAATACCACAAAAAACCACATAATTCAGCGCTAACCTATTCCAAGGTATTAAAGGCTTTAATAACCTAAGATATCCTAATATGGAGAAGGCTAGTACTATCCGAAGACTAGGACAATAGCTAGCTTAAAGCGTTCCACTTAGAGAAGCCCGTCAACGATATTACTCAGGAGGCCGCCGAGGTTCAAAAGCCCCGTATTCCCATCGGCCGACGCAGTCGTAAGGTATTCACATTCCTACGGATCGTGGTAAGCATAATATATCGTAAATTGTATACTACTAGATTTATACTTACCTGTTCGCGCACGTCGCAGCAGATTATAGCATCACCAACAATGCACCTACCACCCTCTTTAGCAGGTGAACAGTTAGCGTCAATACCGCCGGCGGTGGCCCCAGTTGGGCAGCAGTAGCATGACGAGGTCGAGCTGCCTGGAAAGAAAACGTCCGAGGATTGGCCGGTCTGGTCCGCTGGTTGAGGGGCAGCAATTGCCGTGCTGAATAGCCCGAAGATAATAGAAGGGGCGATAAAACGCATTTCGAAGGTGAATATTGAAGGTAGTAAGTTAGAATAGAAATAGAGGAGAGTAGATTCGCGATGTTGAAAATGAATCTAAGGGTTAGTAGATAGGCTTATATAGTATTATCTAGCTCCCTATTACGGCCTGCTATTACGTATATAATTCTAACAGACAAGGGGTAGATTAGTTCCCCCTATCAAATACGCAATAGTCATATCGAAGTATGTGATCCTAGTTATATCCTCAATATAAACTAGCATTATATGAAGAAGAGGCAATTCAGAATCCACATAGCTAGGAGGTGTACATTCCTAAAAGCAAGCCAGTGCTATTCGTATCTTTTCATGTCCAGGTCCTATCGGTATAGGATAAGAGCTGGTACTTTGACCACTCGGGGAGCAATAACTAACCCTAAGTATTGGAAGGTATCCCTACATCAAGTTTTATTACCATGGCCGATAAATCTACGCTTTTCTTAAGTATGAGACTTGAATGTCTTTATCAGAGTAGCCTACTTATAAGTTATAGCTACCAGGATATATGATGTAGCACGGTCTCGGGCCTAAGATATAGTAACTTCGAAAGATTTAGCCTCCCTTTACTAATACCAGGTCAAAAATTGTGAGAAACTAGAGATAGCCCACCCTTTGCTATGGTCACTTTAACCCTATCAAGGAATGTTAGGATGAGTTCGTCCCATATAAGATCATCTGGCGTTCCTCGAGCGCTAGAAATTATTAACCCCTCGCTATAGTCACTTTAATCCTGCCTAGGAATGTTAGGATGAGTTCATCCTATGCTAAGATCATCTGGCTTTCGTCGAGCGCTAGAAATTATTAACTCTTTGCTGTAGTTACTAGTTCCCCCGCTTGGAGCATACTGGGACGAGATCAAAACACGACTGTCCAGCTCAAAAACCCTACGGAGCTCAGGACCTGGGCCCTGAAGGGCACCCCGCATATCTTGGATACTCTCCTCTCCAAAGTGTAGCTTTCGTCCCATATAAGATCATCTGGCGTTCCTCGAGCGCTAGAAATTATTAACCCTTCGCTATAGTCACTTTAATCCTGCCTAGGAATGTTAGGATGAGTTCATCCTATGCTAAGATCATCTGGCTTTCGTCGAGCGCTAGAAATTATTAACTCTTTGCTGTAGTTACTAGTTCCCCCGCTTGGAGCATACTGGGACGAGATCAAAACACGACTGTCCAGCTCAAAAACCCTACGGAGCTCAGGACCTGGGCCCTGAAGGGCACCCCGCATATCTTGGATACTCTCCTCTCCAAAGTGTAGCTTTCGGAGGCGATGAAGATGAAGACACAACGAGATCATGCAAAGGAGATCGAAAAGCTCGAAGTAAAAGCTTAGCAGTACGAGAAGCGAATCGCTTAGCTTTAGGACAAACTATGCAGCGAAATTGAGATTGGTATTAGTAATACTAACGAGCTGGAAGGCTAATATGATGACCTACGAAAGCGATTCGACCAAGTAGTCATAGACTACGGTCAGGCTGTCAATGAACAGGAAAGCGTTCCGACAGCGCTGCGTTACCTTAGTACGGCTGCTGTAACTGGAACTCAGACTCCCCGACCTTTACCAGCCCTCTCCGATGCTCGGAAGTCCTCTAAGATGCCTGCCGCTCTAATGCTAGACGACGGTAGAATTGTAAAGTTCAAAACCTGGAAGAATAAGATCAGAACTAAGTTGCTATTGAATGATGATCACTACCCGACTATGGCTCACAAACTAGCTTATACGCGTAGCCGTTGTATGGGTAAAGCGCTCCGTCACATCGATCCTTGTATGCACCCAGAGGCAACGAACGCCTATAAAAGCGTCGACGATGTCTTTGAACACTTGGAGGGTGTTTTCCACGATCTAAACCACAAATAGGTTGCCCGAGACCAGTATTTCGAACTCAAAATGAATCACCGGCAAGACCTCACTCATTTCCTGGCTGAATTCCATTGCCTTGCGGAGGAATCCGAGCAGCCACAGGAACTCCGCAAGCGCGACCTATACCGAAAGCTTCCTACCCTACTCCAGAAGTAGGTTATGGTTACGGCTGGCGACGATAAGGTCGACTTCGACCAGTTCGTCAAGAAGTGTCAGATCGCCCCGCGGCTGATCACCCAGCAGATAGCCTCGCGACCCAGAGGCCGCGCGCCGGCCACCGCCGGATCAGGACCTCCAACGCAGACGTAGTCCTCGCGACTACTCCACGACGCAACCCCTTCTTAGACACCACTCCTGCCGAGCGAGCAGCGCTTATAAAATAAGGCCGTTGCTCTGTCTGCCAGCAATAAGGCCACGTCTTACGCGACTACCCGAACCGAAAGACCTCGACCTCGAACCTCAAGACTGCAACCACCGCCACTCCGAATAACAATCTTACTATAAAAGAGGAGGACCAAGATGACGAGGAGTCTGGAAAAGCCAAGCCTAGGGGAAGTCTCCTTCCTAGGCGGGCAGAAGGTGTCCCTACGCTCGCTGGATTTAACTAGAATGACCTTATGTTTAAGGCCCAATTAGCTCTCAATAGACTTTTAGTTAATATCTTATCGCTCGTAGACACCGGAGTAGACGGTTTTGTATTCATCGACATAGATCTAGCTATCCTACTAGGCAAGCAGCTTAGACTACGCAGTATTCGATTACCGCAGAAGTGCCCAGTCAAAAGGTTCGACGGGAGGATATCTCAGCCGATCATCTATGCGGTAGAGCTCACACTTCATATCGATGGCCGACAGCAGCCACGTATACTCATACTAGTGATTAATCTAGGCCAGTATAATATCATCCTTAGGCGCCTTTAGTTTGCCTAGTATAGCGTAGTCCCTGACTGCAAGAAACGATGTCTCTTATAGCCGAACGAATACTCTTGCTGAGGAGGTTGTATCAAAATTAGCTAAGCTAGTTATACAATCCATTCTCCCGCGACTAAACCCTCAGCCTAATTACTAAGCCGATATACAGAGGAGAGACAAAAAAAAGGATTGCCGACGCCCTATCCTAAAAGAACACTACACGCACGACGGAGACCTCCGATAAAACCTAAAGATGAACCGGGCGCTATAAGGTAACATACCAACCAAGCAAGGCCTAACTAAGCCTAAGACTAGCTAGCCTACCAAGATCCTGCCAATAATTGATATTGCAATGATCGGCGCAACCGGATTTCACCGACACGCCCAGAAGAAGGAAACTGAGGTCTTTGTTACACTTGGCAAATCGTCAGAAAGAAGAGTCCATTCAACGAAGATGTCGAATCTGAGAAAGGAGAAGGAGAGAAAGAGAAAGAGAGATGAGCCCTCTTTTGTTCCTACGACGCCTCCGGAACCTTCCACATCACGTGATTGTTCATCTTTCTCTTTCTCTCCTTTCCTTCCTCAGATTCGAGATCTTCGTTGAATGGACTCTTCTTTTTTGATGATTTGCCAAGTATAATACAGTCATGACGCACAATCAGCGCAAGCTTCAATTTGTAGCATAAGAGTAATATAAGCTACTTAACCGCGATAGTAACACCACATCAAAGGAAAATAAACACAATCAATAGAAGCTCCAAATTGCATCCATCACAAACTGAGTTAATTATTGATCCACCAACCGCACTGCGTTAAGCATAGGTATAAGTCTGAGCACCACTAGTCCCTCCAGGGTTCACAACCGTCACTGAGACAGCTCCAGTGCCTGGAGGTGCAACTGCACTGATTGAGCTGTCACTAAGAATAGTGAATGTAGCTGGGTTGGCTCCAAAGAATATCTCAGTAGCTGTCGCAAAACCCGTTCCAGTAAGAGTTACATTATTGCCACCGGCAATAGCTCCACCAGTAGGCGACAAGCTAATGAGAGTTGGTGCGGCAATATATTGGAATACCGCGCCATTGCTGGTGGCAGAAGCGGTATTGACTGTCACAGCAGTAGCTCCTGCTGCTGCAGCGGGGGAGGTTGCAGTGATAGTGTTGTCAGAGTTGATAGTAAAGGCTGTTGCTGCAGTTGTCCCAAAGAACACATCGAGGGTATTGATCAAGCCTGCCCCAGTTATGGTCACCGTAGTGCCCCCGGCAGTGGGGCCAGAAGTTGGAGTGATGGAAGTAATAACTGGAGACGGCTGGAAGCTGAAACTAAGCGAGCTGTCTGTACCTCCTGGGGAGGTAATATTGATTGGAACTGTGCTGACAACATGTGAAGGTGCGACAGCATCTATCTCAGTATCATCAATAACGGTAAAGCTAGCTGCAGGTGTGGTTCCGAATTTCACACTGGTGGTATCCGCAAGATCAGTACCAGTAATAGCAATAGTGCTGCCGCCAGCTGTAATATCCGAGGAAGGAACAGCGTCTGCGGGTGCAGGGATAGCGATGTAAGTATAGTCTAAGGCAGTGCTAGCACCAAGAGGCGTTGTGACTACTACCGAGGCTATGCCAGCAGTACCTGGTGGAGCCACAGCATTGACTTGAGTGGGTGATAAAACGATGAAAGAACTGGCTGGAGTACCAGCAAATGTAACTGCTGTAGCGCCATTAAGGTTTGAGCCAGTGAGAGTGACAGTATTACCACCTGACACTGCCCCGGATCCTGGGAGAAGAGCTGTGACTGTAGGTGTTGGAGCAGGTGCATAGGTATAGGTAGTGCCAACGGCACTAGTACCACCAGGACCGGTGACCAGAACATCGACAGTAGCGCCGGCACCAGGACCAGGGGGAACAACCGCATTTATCGCTGTATCTGAGAGTATAGCGAATGTCGTAACAGGAGTTGCGCCAAAGGTCACAACCGTGGCAAATGTGAAACCAGAGCCGACGATGGCTACAGTATTTCCGCCAGCAGCAGGGCCGCCAGTAGGAGTCACACTTGTGACCACGGGAGCAACGACCCCATTATAGGTATATGGCAGGGTCCCGCTAGTACCAGCTCCATTGGCCACACTGACTGTTGTGGGTCCTGCTGTACCTCCTGGCGCAACCGCAGCAACTTGAGTGTTAGAAAGGATAGCAAAGCTAGTAGCAGGAGTAGCACCAAAGCTGACTCCAGTAGTATAAAGGAGGCCTGTGCCATTGATTGTTACTGTGTTCCCACCAGATGCTGGCCCACTAGTTGGAGAAAGGGAAGTAATAACCGGAGCAGCAATCGCAATATAAGTGAAATTCACTGCTTGAGTGCTGGTGCCATTGGCAGTGGTTACCGCAACCCGCGCTGCACCAGTACCATGTGCTGGTGTTGTGACAGAGATCGATGTTGGGGTACTTGAGTTAATAGTAGCACCAGTGCCACCAAAGGTAACTGTTGTGGGGGTGGCAAGATTAGTACCAGTGATAATCACTGTTGTGCCACCGGTGCTAGGGCCAGAAGTTGGATTAATTCGACTAATAGTTGGTGCAGACATTGTTGTTCGGGAGAATCAAGCGTTAAGCTTAAAAGTAATTGTAGTTATGTAAGTGCAACCAAGTTCAATGTGCTCTTGTGAAGTTGGATGGGCATTAAATTGAGGGAATTACTTTCTTTAAATACATAAAAGAATGAACAAGGGAGGGGTAGTAATGGCCATAATCGCAAGGAGTTAAAGTCATACGGCGTAGTCATACGGCGTAGTCATACGGCGCGAGCCGGTTTCGCCAAGTTCCAAGGCATTCCCCTCGTCTGTCGAAGTGCATTCGTGTTGTCACATCCTAGACCTTGGCTATGTACTTCGCTGGGGGACGTGCGGGCCAGGAATGACCCCATGATGTGGCCCTAGTCTGTCGAAGTTGCATTCGCATATTTGTTGCCTCCTAGACCTTGGCTATGCACTTCGCTGGGGGACGTGCGGGCCAGGACTAACCCCATGATGAAGCCCTTGTCTGTCGGAGTGCATTGGTGTGTTGTCACATCCCAGATATTGGCTATGCTCTTCGCTGACACTTGACGTACGAGTGAGCTTACCCTATGACTATGACCCTCGAGTGTCAAAAAGTATCACATCTTTGCTGTATGCGCTTGCTTTTTTCCATGAGGCTTAATATACAATGACCTCTATCTGCTGCGTACTTCCTGCTTGAGCTGAGCCGACTTATTCCATGCGCCCGCGTGATAGTCAATTTGAAAACGTTGCAGATACTACGTATAATTCTAGCTTTAGCGAGTAAGATAAACTTACTAAGCTAAATGATTGATCCCTTTGTGAGATCCCTCTTTCCATAACAGAGTCCCTAGGCCAACTAAGTCTTATAATATACCATCAGCGTCAGCGATGATATATCGAAGATCTAGGAGGCAATAATATGCGAATGCACTTCGACAGAGGAGGGCAATGCCTTCGAACTTGGCGAGACAGGTTTATACTGTATGACCATTGGATTTCATAACTCCTTGTGATTATGGCCTACCACCTATTCATCCCTTGTTTATTTTTACTTTTGTTTAACGCGAGCAACTCTCTCTCGTGTTCGATGTGTATCTCGCGCAATCCTGCAATGTAACGATGTAATTATGGCACGGAAGCAAGGATGTACTGAAACCCATGACTGTGGTCCCCTCGTATGCGATATGCATGTCGCCGAATCCGATGCCACGACTATGCCATCATTTGACGCCAGGTAAGGGTGGCCGTGCCCTTCTGATCCTAGTGCAGAAGATTTTGGATATATGCGTTTGCTTTTTCTTACAATCTCCCTTTACGCTCTTTGTAGTACTACATTCTGGATCATACTCCTGAGACTGATGTCTCGTAATGCGGCTGGCCGATAAGAATACACGTACGAAGGAATAGTGTTGAACTTAGCCATCCCATATTGGCTACTTACGCTCTTAAGTGAATCGGCGGCCATCTAGATGGTAAGTTGGTAAGTTGAGATGTCTTTCTACATTCAAGTATTAACCTTATGTTAATCCGAGGTAGGGGTAATAAATTGTTCGGACTAAAATCACGTTCAGGCTTGGAAGGTAATTAAATCTTGGGATAAGCTGCCGTGTGCCAGTTAGAATCCCACTAACTGCACGTTGTAACTAATGCGGATAGTGATTGGACAACCTGGAGCTGAGACCTGCTCAGCTCAAAAGCGCGCAGTCTCCCTTTTCGACTTGAGAACAGAAATTGTTTTATATCTAAACATGCCCGTACCTACTATCACTCAAATCATTCCTACAATTGGCCCTACTGCTGGCGGGAATACAGTGTCCATCAGCGGTTCTGGTTTCATGAATATCACGGCTGTGACTTTCGGCCCTACTGTCGCTACCTCATTCACTGTGGTCTCCAGCACAGCAATAAACGCTGTTGTCCCGCCCGGTCCTGCCGCTGGCGGTGCTGTCTCTGTCCTCGTCACCGGACTCGGCGGCACTAGTGCCGCAGGCACTACATATACCTACATGGTCACTCCTATCGTCAGCAATGTGAGTCCAAGTAGTGGCCCTGCTGCTGGCGGGAATACAGTGTCCATCAGCGGTTCTGGTTTCATGAATATCACGGCTGTGACTTTCGGCCCTACTGTCGCTACCTCATTCACTGTGGTCTCCAGCACAGCAATAAACGCTGTTGTCCCGCCCGGTCCTGCCGCTGGCGGCGCTGTCTCTGTCCTCGTCACCGGACTCGGCGGCACTAGTGCCGCAGGCACTACATATACCTACATGGTCACTCCTATCGTCAGCAATGTGAGTCCAAGCAGTGGCCCTGCTGCTGGCGGGAATACAGTGTCCATCAGCGGTTCTGGTTTCACGAATACCACGGCTGTGACTTTCGGCCCTACTGTCGCTACCTCATTCACTGTGGTCTCCAGCACAACAATAAACGCTGTTGTCCCGCCCGGTCCTGCCGCTGGCGGCGCTGTCTCTGTCCTCGTCACCGGAAGCGGCGGCACTAGTGCCGCGAGCACCACCTATACCTATACAGCCACTCAAATTCCTACCATCACGGGGCTTATCCCCCCATCTGGGCCAGTATCGGGTGGGAATACTGTTACAATCATGGGCTCGAACTTCAACACCCCTAGTGCAGTTACATTTGCCGGACATGCAGCCAGTTCGTTTACTGTCCTATCACCTAGTGAAGTAAAAGCTGTTGCTCCACTAGGTACTTCTGGGATAGCTCCTGTAGTTATCACAGCGCCTGTTGGTGCTAGCGCTGGTTTTAATTACACTTATATTGCCTTACCTGCACCGACTACAGTGTTTCCTACCGCGGGTGTTATAGCTGGCGGGGAATTGGTCACTATCACCGGTACTGGTCTGACAGGTACTATGAACGTGGCTTTTGGAACCGTTATTGCAACAGGCTTTACGGTTGTTAATGACAAGGAACTCGATGTTATGGCACCAATGCACCTCGTTGGCACGGTGCCAGTTTATATTACCTCCCCAGGAGGTACAGACAGCTCGCTTAGTTTCAGCTTCCAGCCGTCTCCAGTTATTACTTCCATCACTCCAACTTCTGGCCCCACTGCCGGGGGCACTACGGTGACCATAACTGGGGCAGGCTTGATCAATACCCTCGATGTGTTCTTTGGGACAACTGTAGCAACAGCCTTTACTATCAACTCTGACAACACTATCACTGCAACCTCCCCCGCTACAGCAGCAGGAGCTACTGCTGTGACAGTCAATACCGCTTCTGCCACTAGCAATGGCGCGGTATTCCAATATATTGCCGCACCAACTCTCACTAGCTTGTCGCCTACTGGTGGAGCTATTGCCGGGGGTAGGAATGTGACGCTGACTGGAACGGGTTTCACAACTACTATATATGTGGTATTTGGAGCAAACCCAGCTGTTTTCAGTGTGCTCAGTGATACCCTGATTACTGCAATTGTTCCCTCGGGGACTGGAGCGGTTTCTGTAACTGTTGTGAACCCTGGAGGAACTAGTGGTGCTCAAATATACACTTACTCTTAAAACCCTTAGTTGAAACAGTCACTAATAGGTTAAGGGAGTAACGTGCAGTTATTGGTTCATACTTCCATTTTATTCTTATACAGCGTTCACGTTGCAGTTTCAAGACGGAAGCTATGAACAGACTACCCTAGTGATAGAAGCATGTTAAATTGTAAGTTAAAGGTCACAATGGAAACGCAGGTCTCGGCTGTTACTTATTTATCCTCCCGACCTCAGGGATCTATAACTCATGAATGGATGGATCCTCAGTTGGAGCGTTTTTGTTATCGGAGGTCAAGTCTTATTCCAGATTTCATTTGTTTCATAGTTCTATTCATATTTCCTCCGAACACGATGCTATAGTAATACAAGGTGCCTGGTCACGGTCGGCTGAACATACTTGCCCCAGAAGGCCCTTTCAATTTTATATAGTGACTTAGAAGCGGTATAAAGTGCCCTTAAAATGGAATCGATTGAGCACTCAAAGGGCCAAGGGATGTCTGGCTAGGTGCTGGGATACCAGCAGCGTTCTAAATGAATACTTCTGTCTGGCTAACTAGCTGCAAACCTTCAGCAAATAGGAAAAGTAGAGCAGAATATCACAGTATAGACACCCTAGGTCTCCAAAAGAAGTTCTCTGCTTGTACCGTGCACTATAGGTCAAATAACCTGTGTCACCAATGGAAGTTCAGTTCGTTAACATTTCTAGAATGTAATATAGGGCTCTCCCGTGGACCTTGTCGGGGTTGTGCTTATAACTGTTATCTCTACCGTAAGTTTGGATAACTGGCAGGTGGCAATATTAGACTGCGGCAACATCCTCAATATCCTTGGATATCCACATATCCTCTCCGCAAATTGCGGATATAGCATGTCACCCAATATCCGCAATCCTCAATTTTGTGGATATAGTATGCTACCCAATATCCTCTGGATATTTGAGGATATCTAGTGGATATCAAACAGGATAAATATGCCAAGATTATTACCTGTTCACGTAATTATTTTAGATTTGAAGAGCAGTGCCAAAAACACACCCCCAAATTACTACCCTCACACCCACCCCCCACCCCAAATTTAGTTAGCGTTGTTTTTTTAATGCCCCCCCCCCCTTTTTTTCTGCCTCCTTACTGTCATAACATCTACACAGAGCTAGTCCTAATTAGGAAGAAGAGGCAATTCGAATTTTATCGCGGAAATCAACGCATCTCGCTGAGCTGGCTATAGATGCATAACCTGCGTCATCTCCGCCGGAATATTACGATATTGACCATGGATTTGCCAATCTTTGCGTTGCCCTCGACCTCGCTGTCGCTGTTGACCTCCCTGACGATCCTGCTGAGTTGCCGAAGCCCCTAGGTCCTGAGCTTCCTGCTGACGAGAGAGCCTCTCTAGTGCCATATCCTCCTGCGAATTGACGACCTCGAATAACGATCGAATACGCCCTGCGGCTCCCTCCTCTTGTCGCCCGCGGTGGATGATATGAGGATGTCGGACTAAGGCGAGCCCTGGATTAAATGGATTTCTCTGTCAGATATTGAAAGACGCCATTATGGATGGAAATGGTCTTTGGTGAAGGACCGCCCTGCCTTCCAGTACTCTTGTATAAGATGGATAGACCTCTCAAATGGGCGGGTCGGGTCCAACACCACACGCACGACGGAGACCTCCGACAAAACCCGAAAAAGATGAACCAGGTGCTACAAGGTAATATACCAACCCAGCAAGGCCTAACTAAGTCTAAGACTAGCCAGCCTACCAAGATCCTACAAACAATTAACATTGCAATGATCGGCGCACCCGGCTTTCACCGACACGCTCAGAAGGAGGAAACTGAGGTCTTTACCACATCGCTTTATGAGATCGACGGCATCATGGCCGGAAAGCAACCGGAACCAGCGCTTGCCGCGCAAGAGATCAGAGAGGTGGTACCGAAGGCACACCATAATTATACAGATATCTTCTCTGAAGAAGAATCAGACACGTTACCGCCACACCAACAGTCAGTGGAGCAGAAGATCGCGCTAGAATCACCAACAACCATAGGATATTGCCCTCTCTACAAGATATCCGCAGAAGAGCTAGCCGCAGTAAAGAAATATATCCTCGAAACCCTCCACAAAGGATTCATTGAGCTAGGATCCGCCCCGTCCGCATCGCCTATCCTAATAGCTAGAAAGCCAGAAGGAGGCCGCCGCTTCTGTGTAGACTACCGGAAGCTAAACGCTATCATAAAGAAAGATCGCTACATATTACCCTTAATCGACGAAGTTCTACAGCATATAGGCAAGGCAAAGTTCTTTACCAAGCTTGACATTAGGCAAGGCTTCCATCGAATCAGAATAGACCCTAAATCTAAAGACCTAACAACGTTTCGCACCCGTTATGGCTCTTTCAAGTATAAAGTGATACCGTTCAGGCTTACCAACGGACTAGCTACCTTCCAACGACATGTTAACACAGTTTTGGCAGACTATCTCGATGATTTCACTATAGCATTCGTCGACGACATCCTAATTATAGTGAGACGCTCGAAGAGCATATGATCAGGAACCCAACCAGGTTCTATGATTCACTGATTAAGTCTCCTGTGCTTAGCTAGGTGGTGCCTGGTCCATCTCCTCGCCATTCGCCGGGAGAATCAGCCGTCAACTCGAGCGACCAGATGGTATCGAGCATTCCCCCCATCACTCTGGCTAGGGAGGCCGATTCTGGTAGCATTGCAACCTACCTGTTAGAACGCAGTGGACTTAATGGCTGTAAATATAAGATCATCTGTGACAACCCGTCGGAGTATGTTCTGTCCTAGCGGAGCTGAGATACTGTATCACGATCAGTTCGAGACTCAAACATTGAGGTAAATAAGTATTCTTCGTCACCTTGAAATGCTCCCGTGGGCGTTGCCCTCTGGATCGTACTTCTGAGACATATGGAGTGTTCTAAGGGGGTCCGGTTTTATAGCCTTGGTGCCACTTGGCGAACGGGGACCAATAGGAGGAAACAGGCTAAAGCTAGGGTGAGGGGGACTTGGATACCATCCGACATGGCTTTTAGTTACATACCTGGCTGTTCTTTGATCTCGAGATTCCTTAAAGTTTTGACTCTTCTTCTACTATATAATAGGTTGGTATTACCGACAGAGCCAGAGCCCAGGTGGGAATATGCCTGTCAAACTTAGTCACTACTGCAAGGGAGCTCTAGAAAGGGGCGTACCTAGCGCAAGCCGCAAAACATGCGTCTGGGTCTCAGGGCTCTTCCTTTCTCCTCGAGCCACGAGAGGTTTCTATTGGCGGATGCGTTCACCCGCCCACAGAAGCTTCCATGTGGCTTGGAGAAGTGGGGCAATGTCAGGGCGACTTTGGCGGGCATACTTGAACGTTTATTAGCGGAAGCAAACACCCGCCCACAGGAACTACAGTACCATGTGGCTTGGAGAAGTGGGGCAGTGTCAGTTCGATTCGGACGAACGTGCTCGAACCTCTAACTACCCCTTTTTTCTGACTGTTTGGAACGCATGCATAGTGTTCCGTCCATACGGCGACGTACTGTAGACTTCATGCAGGCTGGCAATGGTTCAAGTACGTATCTTTGACCTTGCTACTCACCAGGGATGCCTGTGTGAGACCTGTAGACTCAGTCTGCATATGAATATTACTAATGCACTGCAACGAATCACAGCTGCGCCAGACACATAGCTAGCGGGCAAGAATTTCATTGGCGGGCCGGCCCACAAGAAGCAGGCAATACGCTACAGTACTGTATCTGCGAGGACGATGCACATGTACCGTAGGATCAACCCAACCCGATAGAATCCAATTTTGCATAAAACCTTGGTCTTGGAGTTCATAACTCTGCTAACTAAGTTAAGCAGAATAAGATAACGTAACGTAATTCCCGGCCGACCTGGACACCCCAAAATGTGACGCATTACTAACATAAGGGATTGGTGGAGCGGAGGACTGGTGGACATGTGATCGGACTAACCGGATTGGGCCCGTTTGCGCGAGCGCTCACTAGAGATAGTTGACAGCTCCCTCCATAGTTTCTTCCTTCTTCACTTTCGTTGCTTCGTTGAATGCACCTGTTTCATCACAGTTGGCTCCTTCGTAACACAAAACATCATATAAATGCAATTTCTTAGGTCACAGTATATCAACAACGAGAAGTTGTTTTTGCTTGATTATTAGTAGGATAGCGTTTCTTCGCATTAGAAATAGCATACCATAGCTGAGGTACAGTACAAAGCCTGGGTTGCTGCCCAACTCCCTGATTGCATATGAAATATTAAAAGAATGTGAACCCATCAGCAACCAATCAGTTGCTAGCGGTGAGTTATCCCATTTCATGTCCTGACAAATACTTGTTGTGTCTGTTAGGTTACACTTGGCAAATCATCGAAAAAGAAGAGTCCATTCAACGAAGATATCGAATCTGAGGAAGGAAAGAAGAGAAAGAGCAAGAGAAAGGGAGATGAGCTCTCACTACTACGCCGCCGGAACTTTTCAATAGGGTCTTGGTGCTGGCCGGTGAGAGGCTCTGCGGGGGCGGCGCGGCGTAGCTTGTCTGGAGAAAAGACTGGGTGGACACGAATAGAGTCTGGGAGGTAGAGTTTGTAAGCATAGCCTACTTTTCCGGTAACTAGTTAATGTTAAATTATAGTTAGGGTCTACTCGCTATGTCAGCGAGCTTCCGGCTTAGTCGATCTGTGTGCCAGTTCTTTGTGGTGATAAATTAGTTTGGTCACATGGTCTGGAAGGTTCCGGCGGCGTAGTAGTGAGAGCTCATCTCTCTTTCTCTTGCTCTCTCTCTTCTTTCCTTCCTCAGATTCGATATCTTCGTTGAATGGACTCTTCTTTTTGATGATTTGCCAAGTGTAACATAATATCGAATTTCTTTTACTCTCTCTCTCCCGCCGACACAGCCACTGACGCGTCACTTTGCTGTCACTGTCTAAGCTCAACCGGCGACCCACCCGAACCGACCGAATCAGAACCATTGCCAAGCCTTAGCAGACACGAACCGAACGAACAATATGCCGAACCCTCCAGAGAAGAGCATCGCACGCTCCACCTTTCGAAAGAGACCAGCACCGCAGGAATCGGAAGAGCCTGAAGAACTAGGATCACCTGCACACCTGACCGAGGCCGAGCGATATCGAAGAAACCTCATACGCCAGCGCGGCTCGCCGCGTGAGTGTCGTTCACCTACTGGAACGAGATAAGACGACCACCGTCTAGCTCAAGAACCCTAGAGAATTCAGGACGTAGGCCCTGAAGGACTCCCCGGGGGCCTTTAACACCCTCCTTTTCAAAGTTCAGCTTTGGGAGGCAGTGAAGATAAAGACACAACGAGACCAAGAACAGCTCGAAGCAAAAGTCCAATAGTACAAGAAGCAAACTGCTAAGCTAGAGGATAAAATTGCTGAGCTTGAGGACAAACTACGTGCCGAAATTGAAATAGGTAATAGCAACTCTGACGTACTAGAAACCGATACGATGAACTACGAAAGTGATACGACCAGGTAGTTCAAGACTACGATCAGGCTGCTAGCGACCGAGATGGCCTTACGACGGCGCTACACTGCCTTAGCACGACCGCAGCTACCGGAACTCGGACTCCACGACCTTCGCCAGCCCCCGATACCCAGAAGTCCGCTAAGATGCCCGACGCTCCAATACTAGATAACGGTAAAATCGTGAAGTTCCAAGACTGGAAGAACGCGATCAGGACCAAGCTACTACAAAACGACGATCACTATCCGACTATAGCTCACAAGCTAGCTTACACATATAGCCGTTGTAAGGGCAAAGCGCTCCGTCACGTCAATCCTCGCATGCGCCCGGAGGTAACGGGTGCCTATAAAAGCGTCGACATCTGTAAACACTTAGAGGGTGTTTTCCACGATCTAAACTATACGCAGGTTGCCCGAGACCAGTACCTCGAACTCAACATGAATCCCCGACAGGATTTTACAGATTTCCTCGCCGAATTCACTTACCTTACAGAGGAATCCGAACAGCCAGAGCAACTCCGCAAGCGCGACCTGTACCGAAAGCTTCCTACACTACTCCAGAACTAGGTTATGACTATGGCTAGCGAAAACGATATCGACTTCGACCAGTGTATCAAGAAGTATTAGATCGGCGCACGACTGATTAACTAGCAAATAGCCTCGCGAGCCAGAGGCCTTACGCCAGCTACCACCGGATCAGCGCCTCTAACGCAGGCGCTGGCGTAGGGGTAGTCCTCTACGACTACCCTACGACGTAATTCCTTCTCGAACAGTACTCCTGCCGAGCGAGCAGCGCTTATAAAGGAAGGCCGTTGCTTTATCTACAAGCAACAAGGCCACGTCTCGCTCGATTGCCCTAAGCAAACCACGATCTCGAACCTCAAGGCTGTAACTACCGCTACTCCGAATGACGATCTTACTACAATAGAGGAGGAATAGGAGGATACGGAGTCGGGAAAAGCCTAAGCCTAGGGGAAGTCTCCTTCCTTGGCCGGTGGAAGGTATCCCTACGCTCGCTAGATTTAAGTAAATTGATCGGACAAAATAGCCTTATATTTAAAGCCCAATTAGCTCTCAATTGTTACGAGGAGCCAGCTGCGAAGGAACAGGTGCATTCAACGAAACAACGAAAATGAAGAAGGAAGAAACTACGGAGGTGCTGTCAACTATTTTGTAGAGAGCGCCCACGCTAATAGGCCCAATCCGGTTAGTCCGGTCAGCTGCTTCCTCCAGTCACATAGGTGATCTCCACATCACCTGACTCCAGATCCTTCACTCTGTGGAATCGGAGGCCGCTACTCCTCACGTGACGATTCACATAGACTAAAAAGGTCCGAGGACAATCTTACTTAGTAAGATTGTCGCGGTAACGTAGTTAGTCCACGGCCGGTCGGGCCACCCCAAAACACTATACTAAATGCAATATTTTCCAACATCATATTTCAACGCTCAAGGCTAATTATATAGACTTGAGGTATCTTAGTGTTTAAGATATCATACTAGGTATTTTTATTAGGTCGAGAAATATTTTAGGGTATCACAAAGTAGATATATATATCTTCATCGCTCGATCGGAGCGTATTTTTGGTAATAGTAGTAATTAACTATTTTCTGAATATATTAGCTATGCTATACTATTTGTAATACTAGGAAATCATACTATACTAAAAATTAAGTAAAACCGTCTTCTTGTTGTTGATATATTTTATCATGAAAAATCGCATTTTGTATGGTGTTTTGGGTTGGCCCGACCGGCCGTGGATTACGTTAGCGGCTTATATAACTAACAGGTCCAGGGACGACAACTCCGCCAGTCCCTTATGTATGTCATGCGTCACATACCTTACAAAAAACCCACTAGGCTATTTTATGTTATATTATAAAATTCTATCCATAAATGGGTTTTGACGGGGCCCCAATGGGGAACCGCAGTGGTTTGTGGGTTGCGGTTTGGGGGTTGGGGGCAAGGTTTGCCCCCAATTGCGGTTTTTGGCGCAGTCTAATCAACACCAGTATACTAATACTAGAATAAACTAAAGCGATGGTTGTTGAGATATAAGATTGTAAAAACAACATTTAATATAGTATTCTACAGTGGCGGGTGGGTAGTGAATTATATTATGGTGGGCGTGCCGAGAACAAGTTTATTAAAGGCTAAAGAACCTCTAGAAGTAAGTAAACTTCGGATAGCGCCTAGTTATTAGTAACCTCTAAAAGGCGTATATTTCAGCTAAAGCAGTCAGAAAGCAGAATTGGTGAGATATTATTAGCTAATGCTTTCTAAAATAATTAGGTACAAAGGAGCGGACGATTGTCTATTAAGGGACAATCCACAAACAAAACCACAAAAAGCCACATGATTCAGAGCTAACCTATTCCAAGGTATAAAAGCCTAACGACCTAAGATATCCTAAGACGGAGAAGGCTAGTACTGTCCGAAGAATAGGATAATAGCTAGCCTAAAGCTTTCCGCTTAAAGAAGCCCGTCAACGATATTATTCAGGAGGCCGTTGAGATCCAAAGGCCCCGTATTCCCATCGGCCGACGCAGTCGTAAGGTATTCACATTCCTACGGATCGTGGTAAGCATAATATATCGTAAATTGTATACTACTAGATTTATACTTACCTGTTCGCGCACGTCGCAGCAGATTATAGCATCACCAACAATGCACCTACCACCCTCTTTAGCAGGTGAACAGTTAGCGTCAATACCGCCGGCGGTGGCCCCAGTTGGGCAGCAGTAGCATGACGAGGTCGAGCTGCCTGGAAAGAAAACGTCCGAGGATTGGCCGGTCTGGTCCACTGGTTGAGGGGCAGCAATTGCCGTGCTAAATAGCCCGAAGATAATAGTAGGGGCGATAAAACGCATTTCGAAGGTGAATATTGAAGATAGTAAGTTAGAATAGCAGGAGAGGAGAGTAGATTCGCGATGTTGAAAATGAATCTAAGGGTTAGTAGATAGGCTTATATAGTATTATCTAGCTCCCTATTACGGCCTACTATTACGTATATAATTCTAACAGACAAGGGGTAGATTAGTTCCCCCTATCAAATACGCGATGGTCATATCGAAGTATGTGATCCTAGTTATATCCTTACTATAAAGTAGTATTATATAAAGAAGAGGTAATCTACATAGCTAGGAGGTGTACATTCCTAAAAGCGAGCGAGTGCTATTCGTATCTTTTTATATCTAGGTCCTATCGGTATAGGACAAGAGCGGGTGCTTTGACCACTCGGGGAGCAATAACTAACCCTAAGTATTGGAAGGTATCCCTACATCAAGTCTTATTACCATGGCCGATAAATCTACGCTTTTCCTGAGACTTGAATGTCTTTATCAGAGTAGCCTACTTATAAGTTATAGCTACCAGGATATATGATGTAGCACGGCCTCGGGTCTAAGATGTAGTAACTTCGAAAATTTTAGCCTCCCTTCGCTAATGCCAGGTCAAAAATTGTGAGAAACTAGAAATAGCCTACCCTTTACTATGGTCACTTTAACCCTGTCAAGGAATGTTAGGATGAGTTCGTCCTATGCTAAGATCATCTGGCTTTCGTCGAGCGCTAGAAATGATTAACCCTACGCTATAGTCACTTCAATCCTGTCTAGGAATGTTAGGATGAGTTCGTCCTATGCTAAGATCATCTGCCTTTCGTCGAGCGCTAGAAACTGTTAACTCTTCGCTATAGTCCCTAGTTTCCCCGCTTGGAGTATACTGGGACGGAGCTTGTTTCTGTTTCCGGATTTTCAAATTTGTTTTTAATTAGTCTCAAGTGGGTGACAATATTACATTACATAAAGAACAACCCTTACTCAACTTTTACAAGCACAGCGCTAGGTATTATGATGCTAGTATGATTAACCATGGACATTCTTGAAGAAAAGTAGTGAGTTATTATTAAATTATTCCTGTACGTAGTGCGACGACCAAGAGTTAAAGACAAGTAACAGTAAGTCCTAAGCCGGCTTCGTAGGAAAATTACTTGTCTCCAATTCGTTACTAGAATGGATACAAAATAGGCTCCCGCCTAGGGGATCAATGAGAATGCCTAGTGAATGTCCAACTCAATGTCGGCTATAGCAGTAAGGGATATCATTTGAATGTTACATCTGGAATGAATGCAAACTCCTTGTTTCATATTTCTTGACAGCCATTATAAAATATAAGCTTATATATCCCTAAGTGCATCGAAAATGTTTAAATCACACAAGCCACAATCTCCTATGATCTAATGCTATAAATGATTGAAGAAAGCCTTTCCCCCTCCCCCTGGTCCACTAAGGTGACCTATCGTCTTCTCGAACCGTCCGATAAGATGCCGTCCGAGGCAGAGGACGAGGTTGAAGCCGATTGCCGACGAATATATATTGGTCATATCCTCTTCCACCCTGGAACTAGTATTGCTATACTACTGATGATCTTTATTACAAACTTGGTTCTCCTGTCTATGTCAATGATACCGCCGGGCTCTGCCTCGCACGTTTCTACTCATAATAGGGAGAGCATTATCCATACGTCATTTAGCCAAGACAGGGCTTTACAGTCTCTTGACCATGCATACGATGATATATGGGGAGCCCTTTCGCTAAACAAAACTTCTGCGGGCTTGATACACACCTCAGACAATGGAGTCCATACAGGTAACGGAGCAATTGGCATGTGGGTTCCACCTATAGTACTATCTCCTGGGGTTGGAATAAAGACGCACCAAATTTCTAATAGTATATGGCTGACCTCTGTATGTCCTAAGCAGGTTCCATCAGCTTCATTGCCTTACAATGTTACGCATGGCCCTCCAGTCTGCTACAGAGGGTAAAAGAATAGGTGTGGACTGGCATGATGATGATCACTGGCCACACTGTATGGACTACTTAGTGAAGGTAGGCTGCCTGCTACGCTATCTTCTTATGATATATTTACGTCCAAAATCTGGCTGTCCGTGTCTAACTACGTACGCTCTAGACAATCCTTTGCTTTGCTGACGACACTATTGAACAGCCATTGCGGAGGTTAGATGGCAGTGACTTCATAGATGGATCCAACGCAGTGAGGGAGTGTAGGTCGCCGCAGCCACTTTACAGCCTGTATTTAAAAAGTGGTCTATAGTAGTTGTGACGATCACATGATATGGAAGTTGGTGGAAAGCTCCGGTGTTTGTTTTGGCGTTTGCAGTTGTAGTGAACCAGAGAGCTCATCTCTCTTTCGCTCTCTCGTTCTTTCTTTCTTTCCTCGGATTCAATATCTTCGTTGAATGGACTGTTCTTTTTTGATGATTTGCCAAGTGTAACCGTTCTCAAATCTTGGCAATATTATTCAAGTCAAAACAATTCAGGGGATGGGGGTTGAATTTCACTGTATCTTCTGGGCTAGGTATGTAGGATCAGAGAATATACATAAAAAACCAACGTTCGGGTTATGGCGCCCTCAGAAACTTCATCCCTGCGGATTCTGATTGATCGGATAAATCTGCCATAAATGAAGCTTGCTTGTGGCGTCTACAAAAGCCAAACTCTAATACGGCTTCCGTCCATTTATGTCTGAGCAAGCTGAGACAATACGGGCTAGTAATCCTCTCGGACGAATAGGCAACAAGGTGAGATCAAGCGGAGCCAATCTTAGGATGACAAGGTTGATTCATTGAAGAAAGAACGAATATCATGGGGCAGATTGAATTACCCCATAGATGGCCACGATACTCGGTGTTACGACAACCGTAATGCCAAGGATACCAAATCACTATATGTACAAACCACCAAGGAAAGTGGGTCAATCAGCATACTGTAACCCCTGTCTAGGCGGTAAGTTACCGCTCCATGTCTCGACACAAATTTCTACCACCTCCCACATTTTATTACCACCTAATACGCTAAAATCACCTAATTGGGGCGAGAATTTGTTTGGGAGGATTACGAAGCCTGTTACAGCCGTGATAATTTCCCGAGGTTGTATATTATCAGCCTCTTAGAGTAGGCAACGGGGCTCGTGTAATGGCCAGAAAGCAGAAGCCCACCATGAAGATACATATGAGCGGCTATTTATTCCAGCCAATGACCCTCATGAGGAGGCAAAAAGCTGGTCGTTATTTTTCCAAGTCAATACCTTCCCGAGGCGGGCTTGGGACATGGCCCAAGCGCAGGGCAAATAACGAGTGACTGTATCTAGATCGGCAAGAGCAAATTGCTAGGCGCCGCCCTGTTGATGATATCACTTGGGATTCGTACCTTTGTATGTCACTAGGGGGCCTTTCCACAAAATTCCAGGCAGGGATTGAGCTCTGTGATCATAGCACAGGGTATGCTACGCAACTTGAGATTCGTACCTTTGTATGTACTAGGGCGCCTTTCCACTAAATCCCAGGGATTGAGCATTATGGTCATAGCACAGGGGATACTACGCAACTAATTGTAACTAGACCAACCGAGACGATGTGTCTGCAGTTGTCATTCTGTTAGCAGCAGCTGCCCGAGATTTCATTTCCGTGGCCATGGAGTTATAAATAGCAAGAAAACCTCTGGGTCCGTTTGCTCGAGCCTACCGGCAAGTATTAGTAAGAGGTGGAGGTGGATTATGCAAAATGCGTTATTTCCAATGCCCATGGGGCTCCTGCGAAAAGGTTAGTCATGGTTTCCCCAATTATATGATCCTTCTGACACGCTTGTAATAGGCATTTATTCGCAAATGTGACCTCTCCCGACACTATCAGATACATACAGATAATAGGCCCTTTATCTGTCCTGAAGAAGACTGCAACAAACGGTTCCACCAACAATCTTCCCTGAAGGTTCACCAGAGAATCCACACTGGTGAAAAACCCTATGTTTGTGAGCTTGAAAAAAATTGTAAGAGAGCCTTTGCCGATGTAAGTAAATTTCCATACGCGATACACCCCGAGCAAGATTTTGTTATCCATTTCAATCGGGGCTAAATACTATGCCCAGCCATCTAGCTATGCGAGACACCAGCGTACCCATACCAACGAAAAGCCTTATAAGTGCCCTATCTCGTCTTGCAGTCGGAGGTACTTCCAGATCTACTAGGAGATCTTGTCTTTGGAAATTGCGGTACTAACTATATACTATAGGTTTTCCCGGAAATCTTCATCAAGAAGACACCAGCTTGTGCTCCATCCTGAAAGCCTCATGTTGGAACCACAACCAGACCACGCATTAGCTTCGCTGCCACTACCCCCTCCTGGTATGGCATCCAGCTATTTCCCTATTCCAATCTCCCAGCCTACCATTCAAGATAGGGATGGTCTTCTGGCTTCTGCCTGTGAATTATTATCCGATGGGATCAACATAGATGGCCTGTTCCAACCGATCAGCTTACCAGATATTTCCACTGCTCCTTTCCACGCCAGCGGAGGCCGGAAACATTGACCAAAGTCTCCCCTCCCTTAAGATTCATACTGCATCTATCTGATCCTGGAATCCTCTCATATTGAGCACCGATTAGCTATGTACGCAGTCGCAATTTTCCACTTGAACCTGCTAAGTCAAGCGATACCCATTTAGTTTTTAATAGAAGGGAGCTCGTTGTGCTTCCCTATTCCGGGTAGCATGGCTATGAAACAGCGCCAGGCCAAATGTAGTGGCCAGGCACAGCTCTTCTGCTGCAATCATGGCACCTACGCTGGAAATACTACCGACGTGAACAAAGGTATCCTTGCTGGAACACTGAGTCACCTCGTCGGTTCCAGAGGTGCCACGATTACAGCAGGAGAGCTGTGCCTGGTCACCACATTTGGCCTGGGCCTATTTCACAGGCATGATGTCCGGAACAAGAAAGCGCCCGTCAGGGTTGCCCTTATTCGCAACACCATTTCTATCACATTCACCGCCAGCGCTTGGCGGCGCCGCGATTCTAGCCAAGGATAAACAAGGATTTCGAATTGAAAAGCATGGCGCATAAGTTGGACTTCGTCTCAAAGGCTCACCTGTTCACAAGCATGTAGCCATGATGGTGCCCCTTCAATACACATTTGATGAGATGCCCCTTCCAACTATAGGATTTAGTAAGTCTATAGACTACGGATGGTGAGGTTTGACAAGAACCTCTCCAAAAAATCGTATTTTCCTTTTCCAGCTTAAATTGAGTAACGAGTGTGACGAGGGACACACAATAGGCGTTTGGTTACCGTTATTACATGGGGTTTGGGGGATTTAATATGGCAAAACGCCGTTTTCTTATGTATCTACTGTTTCATGCGCATGGGCTGGCGTTCGGAATGCTCTTGCTTCCGCCGGAGGAAGCGCCTGCATAGCCATACGACACTAGTTAGGCTGCATCAGGTTAATAGAGTATCATCATCATCATCATCATCATGATGGTCACATGATCTGGAAGGTTCCGGCGGCGTAGTAGTGAGAGCTCATCTCACTTTCTCTTGCTATTTCTCTTCTTTCCTTCCTCAGATTCGATATTTTAGTTGAATGGACTCTTCTTTTCGATGAATTGCCAAGTGTAACAACTAGTCGCTAGGATATTGACAATATGACCGAAGGTATATGAAGGGGCGGTCAGCGGTCCCCCACGAACTGGTGCTCACTAGGGATGAAGATACTTGTAATTATTCCTGCATTAATTTTTGATGATGAAACTTGTTGATATACCTCTTCGCTCTAGAGAATGAAACGTGTCTTAAAACCGTGTATAGGACCAAAGGAATGAAATCGAAACAGGAAACCCTGATAACTCAACAAACACGGAAATTGAGAAAAGCATTTTATGGCCACTCAGTTAATATAGAGCTCGACGTACTTGCAGCAAAGGGCTTTGACCTTACAAGTGCGCTTATGCCTGTCCTGAATGGCACCTTCTCGGACGACTTCTTGGAGGGACCCAATTTCTTTGCGTCGCGAGCCGCATGTTTCGCTAGCTAGATCGGAAGTCTGAAAATTTTATTTCCATATTTCAAAACTGAGATTGGACACGAAATAAAATTGAGAAAGCAGGTTAACAACAACCAAAGACAGAGCCGATCTATTGTAATGGTGATCCTCCCGTAGGATTTCTGATAACTCACCATCCATGGGGGGTTCCAACCTGTATTTATAAACTGTCTTCAAAATTGGGAACGGAAAAGAACTGTCCTGATAATAGCTAGTGTTGAGCCGCTAGGGGGTGTTTTATAATGGCAAGAAGTATAACAGGTGAAGTATTACAGGTGTAAAACCGCCGCCCAGGAAACTTAAACCGTATTCTGGACGATTGCCGGTATATGGGACGTGTGACGTATGACATGACAATGGACACAGAGATCACATGAGGTGGAAGATGGTGGAAGACTACGGCGTTTGTCCAGGTGTTTGCATGGAAACTCTCTAGTCTCTAGCTGTCACCACGTCCATAGTTTCTTCCTTCTTCACCGTTGTTCCGTAGAATGCACCTGGTCACTTCCCAGCAAGCTTCTTTTCTTCATCGTAACAGGACGGAGCTACGGAGGGGGGCGACGGGGGGACGCATTTTTGGGAATATCAGGTCTGTTGGGGTGAGGTGAAGCAGGAGAAGGCAACAAGCATAATACTGGCCCGCGAGCTAGCACCGCTGTACAAGTTCTGGGTTTCGCGGTGGTACCATATCAATTCGGAAGTCTCTCACCCAAGGTGCAGCCTAATAATGTCAACGCTTTTTGTTCCTTACCGAAGAAAGGAACAGGCGTGCAAATGTGTATTGAAGGGGCACCATCATGGCTACATGCTTGTGAACAGGTGAGGGTCCTGCTGGTATTTCGGAATCCGTAAGCCTTCTGAATGCTCAAAAATTGATTATAGTGCGCCACTCTTCCCAGAAAGGAAGATTGAAAGACGCAAATGCCAGATGTATGTGTAAATTGACAACAGTTTTACAGGTACAGTACAAGGCCCTAGCGTTGAAATTTCCTAACGCAAAAGGTTTGGTTGCTAATACTGCACAGAATGGTTCACCAGCACCATTAAACGTGCATTTAGTCTCTTGATACTGCTTGATTGTGCCAAATGGCGAACCCAATGCTGCATGAACCTTTTCACAGCTTCGGATACGGATGCCTCATTTAGCTCTAATGCGATCGGAGCTATGTATGCGGTCCTACGATGCTCTTCGATACCAGGCCACTTGCGGCTCGAGACAATCCACTTCACGTGCTGGTAGACAGGTGACTTCTGGACAATCAAGCCTAGACAAAATGGAGGGTTTTTTTGCATTCGTCTAAGGCGTCAATCATCAAATAGATATCCTGTAACCCCGAGGCTTTCAAAATAACCATGAGGATTCTCGAAAGGGCATTCCATGAGTTCATTTCCTCAAACAACGCTTTTCCCGCTTGGTCGTACCCACTCCGTACGTAGGACAGAAGATGTGGCTGCCTCTCAACAAGGGAATATATTCATGTAACGATAACAAGATATGGGATTCTTCGGCGACGTGTAGAGTAAACCGAGGGCTCATCTCTCTTCCTCTTTCTCTTCTTTTCCTTCCTCAGATTCGATATCTTCGTTGAATGGACTCTCCTTTTTGATGATTTGCCAAGTGTAACATGCACAACCATTGCTTTGTTTTCTATATAATTAGTTGTTCGCCGTTCTTAAGGCTTGGCAATATCATTCAATTAGAAGGTGGGTTTCGAGTTTGAGTGTATCTTCTGAGGCAAGGTATGTAGGAATGGGGTATATGCATAAAAAAAAGACGTTAGGCGTAAGGAGCCTCCGGGAAATTCACCCAAGGAGTTCTAATTGGTCGGATAAATCTGCCGCAAATAGCGGTGCGCGTGGCGTCTGCCAAGGCCAAACTCTCATACATTGTACAGTTTCCACCTAGTCACTATAAGGACTAGCTGCTACGCATGATATTTGAAAGTTAGTTAAGAGTCAAAGCGCATAAATTCTAGAGGAGTTTCGAAATACCAATAAAATCTTAATAGACGAAGACCTAGCAAACAAGGGCACCTGGCCGGCACCAACCCCTCCTCCACAAGCTAACACAAACCCCAGGAATGGGACTTCTCCTTTCCTCATCCTTGGCAAGTAAGGAGGATGGGAGAAGTCCCATTTCCCTATATGGTATACCATTTTAAAGAACAATGATATCGGTGGGTGGTACGTTTGTTCCTCTACTTGACTGGTCAGGGCGTTGGAATGCAAGGTACTGAACATCACTGGCGCGAACGGATGAGTTGCCTTAAGAGTGCCGAAGAGAGGTGTCATATTCTTTTTAAAAATTATATTTAGCATTTCCCAGAACATTCGTGGAATAAGAATTGTTTGATGCAGGGGATAGCTTGAAGGAGAGATGGTGATTAAGAGTCTGAAATTTTTAATCGTATACAAAGGTCATCGAACGGACTTTTTTTTCAGATCTCCTAAGAGCCCTAATTGATCAAGCCTTGCAGTTAGGCAGCAGGGTACACGAGGCCGGGATGACTGGGTACACTAACTCCCATCTGGTGCCGTTCCTCGACCAGCCTCCCTCTAACGATTTCATTCTACGTGACCACCAATTAGCAGAGCTTTTCCAGCCAATTGATTCTTCCGACCGTGTTTCCTTGGTCGACCCTTTTAGCAACACTGAAGATCCAATAAGGAGATTCATTATTGGCTCTCGTAATCCGAGACCGAACCCCAAAGTTCCTATTCCTCGAATATCTACTCCGGTGAGCTGGACAAACGGGGCCCGAGTCAGTCAAGCATGCGAAGCTTGCCGTGGGCCAAAGATCAAGTGCAGCGGTCATCGACCAGCCTGTCATAGATGTGAGGAGATCGGTATCGTCTGCCAATACGGCGATCGAAAAAGAGAGAAGACTGATAAGTGCGTGATTGACTACTTTACGCAGCAGATAAACTACTAACGGGGATTATTAGGCAGCTCAACAATCTAAACGCACAGATTGGATTGTTAGAAAATCTGTTGCGTGATCTCTATCCTAGACTCGACACCCAATCTGCCGAATATGTTGACCGAACCCTGGGTAAAGTGAGCTTACCCCCCCTTCCCAGCCTACCACGGCAAGCTAAATTGGCTTATCTCATCTTCAAAACCATTCTTTCTATGTTATCTAACAATACCCAGATTTCAAGACATGATCGGGGCCCGCCGACTGTCCCTGGACTACCGGAAGCGTGTAAAGTAGCTGAAGATCCATTAGTCACCGTTGACTACACACAAGAAGATTTCAATCGCCTCGGAGAAATGCAGGCCTTAGGGTTTGTGGGTGAACACTCAGAAATGGCATGGTTGTACAGACTTAAGAACGCACTCGAACAAAGCCCTGCCAAGCCATCCACATCCCAGGAGGACTTCTGTCGATTATCCGTCACGTCTATGGATTTTTACCAAAATGACTGTGATATGGCGATACGAGATGAAGTGGGTTTGTTAGAACGGCCTTCGCAGGGCATGGCCGACCAGCTCATCAGCACGTATTTTCAAATCATTCATCCATCATTCCCGATCATTGGGAGAAGGACATTCGTGGCTCAATTCCGATCATATTATTCGGATCCAACCACAAGACCCGGGAAGCAATGGCTGGCAGTGTTGAACTTCATGTTTGCCATTGCGGCAATGCATTTATCGCCCGTGAAGAAGCTAACTGAGTGCAAGGAATGTCCACATTTAGTATACTTTTCACGGGCGTGGATACTTAGTATGGACAAGGCGTCTCTACGGGATCATCCTAGTTTGCAGCAGGTGCAAGTCGAGGGCTTAGCAGCCTTTTACCTACTTGCAAGCGGCCAAGTCAACAGGTGCTAATTTCTCAGTCGCACATCCACCTTTCATACGATATTGGTAACTAATGGCTTTTCTGCTTTAGGTCATGGAAGTGTTGCGGTATTGCGATGCGCTCCGCTCTGGCTATGGGGCTTAATCTCCGTAGTGAGAGTCAGAGTGTTGCCCCATTATCGAAAGAGATAAGGTATCGGGTGTGGTGGGCTTTGTATGTGTTGGATACCTCGCTTTCTGTGATGACTGGGCGTCCTCCGGGGATTAGTGGGATATTCTGCACAACGCCGCTTCCTATACCTTTTGAAGAGGGGCACCTCCAGAGCGACTATGTCTTGAAGTATATTATAGACAAAGGGGCTCGGAGCTGCCTTTTGGAAACGTTGCTTTCCACTGGGGGTGGAAATATGTCAAAGCATAGCCTGACCGAAAGTGTACCGCCAGGTTATCCAGCGTCGAACAAACAATCACCCAAAGAAAACACTGCACCGGTTATGGCGGAACTCCCACAACCAAACAACTCGTTGTGTTTCCTTTACGCTGTGAGTCTCACGATCTTAACGCGCGAGGCAATCGATAAGCTTTATGCACCAGGTGCTGCCCATAAACCATGGTTCGAGATAGAGATCGTGATTTCTTCATTGAATGACAAAGCGGACAGCTGGCTTGATTCGCTCCCAGCCCCTTACAATTTCAAAGCCATAAGCAAAGCTGGGCCCCTGAGGCGTCAATGTGCCAGCCTCGCTTTTCACTTCTATTCGACAAAGCTTTTCATCACGCAACCCTGTCTTCGCCGGCTCATTTACAGGTCACCAGTGTCGGACGTTCGTATGGATGCCTCCGATTCCATGACGGCCATTTGCATTCAGGCCGCATGCCAACTACTCGATTTACTACCAGATGAGCCAGACTTGACTTGGCTGTATGGCGTTTGTCCATGGTGGTGTGCTCTCCACTATTTCATGCAGTCTATTACCATAATATTGACTGGGTCTTTCATCCGTACCAGATTGGGCACAATTGACACAATCAGCATCATGCCAAAGTTGCGAAAGGCTACAGTTTGGTTGAAGGAGATGTCAAAGATAAATGTTTCTGCACGGAAAGCCTGGCTTGTTTGCTTGTATTTCGTCTCAAGTCATGGGTCGAAAATTGGTCTAGATATCGACGACAGTCTCTAGAAAGTACATTTCGCATGGGATATGTTGATTGATTGAAGGAAGAAACAGGGGAAACAGCGGCTGCTGAAATACCCCTAAAAGAAACGCCGATAAGCGGCTGTAGCTCCGTTGCTCGCAGGAAGCAACACCTGCGTTGCTACCCAACGGCTTAATTACATATGTGATACTAAATGAGTGTAGACCCATCAGTAACCAATCAGTTGCTAGCGGTAAGTTATCTCTCCATGTTTCGACACTTTCATCTTTGATCAAACGGTCTATCGTCCAACCACCTTCGTCCAACCACTTCATCTACAAAGATAGCACAAAGCTTACTATTTACTACTAAACTGAATAATTGATCTATAGATAGGCATGTAGCCACTAATGTCCAAATTTGTGCCAAGACACTCATACTGGAATCCTTATGTAGGTAGTATTTCAAACATACTCATTAGTTACAGTACTTGAACCATTGCCAGCCTGCATGAAGTCTACAGTACATCGCCGTATGGACGGAAGACTATGCGTGCGTTCCAAACGGTTAGTAAAAAGGGGTAGAGGTTCGAGCACGTTCGTCCGAATCGAGCTGACACAGCCTTACTTCTCCAAGACATATGGTATTTCCTGTGGGCGGATGTTGGCTTCCGCCAATAAACGGCGTTCAAGTATGCTCGCCAAAGTCGCCCTCGCGTGGCCCCACTTCCTCAAGCCACATGGAAGTTCCTGTGGGCGGATGAATGCATCCGCCAATAGAAACCTCCTGTGGCTCGAGGAGAAAGGAAGAGCCCTGAGAACCAGATACATATTTTGCCCTAGGTACGCCCCTTTCTAGAGCTCCCTTGCAGTAGTGACTGAGTTTGACAGGCGCAGGCCTATCTGGGCTCTGGCTCTGTTGGTGGTAACCGTGACCTGCCAGCGCACCCACCGCAGAGCGGTGTGGATGAGCCCCACCCAAATGGTCAATTTTGAATTATTTCAACCACTACCACTACCAAAACATGCCAGAAACACGTCGAAATTCAGAGGAACGCGTCCTTGCCGCTTGCGAAGAGGCTCGTGGCCAAAAAACGCCGAGTTGGGCTACGTTGTAGAGGAAATACGGCGTTGACCGGAAGCGCATCAAGCGGATATTCGAGGGTGGAAAAATGCGTCACCAACGTATGCCTCCACATCAACGTCTGGATGCGTTGTAGAGAGATGCGCTAATAGATTGGATACGGGCGCTTGATAATCGCTATATTTTGGTCACCGCTAAGGCTATTGAGCGCGCTGCCAATGGAATCTTGCGTCGGAACGCCATCGATATTAGCGTGAGCCGCGTGTAACTAGCCTCCGAGATACTGAGCTTAACTACCAGCTGATTGATATAATCAGGGCTAGAGATGCGATTATGGATGATCAGATCGCTAGAATAACAGGCTATAATAAGCGCAAAGGCCTATGTGATATAGGGCTAGTCGAAAAAGGGCAAGGTCTGTTACGCATGACATGACGATGGGCTTGGAGATCACCTGAGGGACGCCTGACTGAAGGGAACAACTGACCTGACTAACCCGATTGGGCCTGTTTGCGTGGGAGCTCTCTAAATAACAGCCTATTCTTCCCCGTAATTTCTTGCTTCTTCACTTTAGCTGTTCCGTTGAATACACCTGGTTCTTTCCAGCTGGCTCCTTCGTAACACCAGTATCACAAAGCGCATAAATCGAGAATGAATGTCCATTGCAAGCCATTTGGGAGTTAAAAGGAAACTGTTTCCTCTTCCTAACAACTTCTGTAGATTCAGCGCGAAAAGTGATAAAGTCATACCACCTGGGAAGGGGATGGTTCCAGGGCATAGGCATTTCCCGATTCAGGAGCGGTGGCAGCGGCAGGAGCTTCGTGAGCGGCAAGCTCCTTAGTGGTATCGATCGAAGCGACAGTCGTCGGTTTCTTCGGGCAGTCACACTAGGTATGTCCTTGTTCGTGACATCTAAAGCATCGGCCCTCCTTTAGGTGGGCAATTCGTTCTTCCGAAGACATCGGCTTGTAAATGGAATCGCCCTCACGTTTGATGAATGGAGATGAAGTGCGTCCAGTGGGAGCGGTGGCAGCAGTTGAACCTATGCCAGAGCCAGATCTAGAGCTAGTCGACGTGGCTTGGGAGCGGCGGGTTTCCTTCTGCTTGTAATGTAGGTTCAAGTTTAGGGCTATACGCTAGTAGGTAGCAACAAACTGCTTAAAGCTAACGTTTAGATCATCCAGCAGGATCATTGTCTGGGTCTGAAGTATCGGTGGCAGGTTGCCATGAAGATCCCGGAGCTGGTCTTGCTCGGGTTGCTGAGCTTCCTCGGCCAGGCGAGTGAAATCAGCGAGAAATTCGTTGAAGTCATCCTTAGGGTTTATGGTTAGGCAGGTATATTCATGGAGTGCCACGGCTACTCGGGTTGGGTTCGAGAACACACCCTCGAGGTGCTTGATCATGTTCTTAGCATCGCTGTATGTGTTAGATGTTCCTTTCTTTGATTCGGGGACCGATATGTAGCTGGGCCTTACCCTTAGTGCTGTAACGATCACATGATGTGGAAGGTTCCGGCGGCGTCGTAGTACCAAAAGAGGGCTCACCTCTCTTTCTCTTTCTCCCCTTCTCCTTCCTCAGATCCTATATCTTCATTGAATGGACTCTTCTTCTTGATGATTTGCCAAGTGTAACAAAGACCTCAGTTTCCTTCTTCTGAGCGTGTCGGTGAAAGCCGGTTGCGCCGATCATTGCAATATCAACTATTGGCAGGATCTTAGTATGCTGGCTAGTCTTGGGCTTAGTTAGGACTTCCTTGGTCGGTATGTTACCTTATAGCGCCCGATTTATCTTTAGGTTCTGTCGGAGGTCTCCGTCGTGCGTGTAGTGTTCTTTTAGGATAGGGCGTCGGCGGTGCTTTTTTTGTCTCTCCTCTGTATATCAGCTTAGTAATTAGGCTGAGGCTTTAGTCGCTAGAGAATGGATTGTATAACTAGCTTAGCTAATTTTGATGCAACCTTCTTAGCAAGAGTATTCGTTCGGCTATAAGAGAGGTCGTTTCTTGTAGTTAGGGAGTACGCTATACTGGGCAAACTAAAGGCGCCTAAGGATGATATTATGCTGGCCTAGATTAATCACTAGTATGAGTATACGTGGCTGCTATTAGCTACCGATATGAAGCGTGGGCTCTACCGCATAGATAATTGGCTGAGATATCCTTCCGTCGAACCTTTTGACTGGGCACTTCTGCGGTAATCGAATCCTGCGTAGTCTAAGCTGCTTGCCTAGTAGGATAGCTAGATCTATGTCGATGAATACAAAACCGTCTACTCTGGTGTCTACGAGCGATGAGATATTAACTAAAAGTATATTGAGAGCTAATTGGGCCTTAAACATAAGGTCATTTTAGTTAAATCCAGCGAGCGTAAGGACACCTCCTGCCCGCCTAGGAAGGAGACTTCCCCTAGGCTTGGCTTTTCCCGACTCCTCGTTATCTTGTTCCTCCTCTATTATAGTAAGATCATCACTGGGAGTGGCGGTGGTTGCAGTCTTAAGGTTCGAGGTCGAGGTCTTTCGGTTCGGGTAGTCGCGCAAGACGTGGCCTTATTGCTGGCAGACAGAGCAACGGCCTTATTTTATAAGCGCTGCTCGCTCGGCAGGAGTGGTGTCTAAGAAGGGGTTGCGTCGTGGAGTAGTCGCGGGGGACTACGTCTGCGTTGGAGGTGCTGATCCCTCGGTGGCCGGCGCGCGGCCTCTGGGTCGCGAGGCTATCTGCTGGGTGATCAGCCGCGAGGCGATCTGACACTTCTTGACGAGCTGGTCGAAGTCGACCTCATCGTCGCCAGCCGTAACCATAACCTACTTCTGGAGTAGGGTAGGAAGCTTTCGGTATAGGTCGCGCTTGCGGAGTTCCTCTGGCTGTTCGGATTCCTCCGCAAGGGAAGTGAATTCAGCTAGGAAATCAGTAAAGTCTTGCCGGTGATTCATTTTGAGTTCGAGATACTGGTCTCGGGCAACCTACTTGTCGTTTAGATCATGGAAAACACCCTCCAAGTGTTTAAAGACGTTGTCGACGCTTTTATAGGCGTACGTTGCCTCTAGGTGCATACAAGGACCGATGTGACGGAGCGCTTTACCTATACAACGGCTACGCGTGTAAGCCAGTTTGTGAGCCATAGTCGGGTAGTGATCATCATTCAATAGCAACTTGGTTCTGATCTTGTTCTTCCAGGTTTTGAACTTTACAGTTTTACCATCGTCTAGCATTAGAGCGTCAGGCATCTTAGAGGGCTTCCGAGCATCGGAGAGGGATAGTGAAGGTCGGGGAGTCTGAGTTCCAGTCATAGCAGCCGTACTAAGGTAGCGCAGCGCTGTCGGAACGCTTTCCTGTTCATTGACAGCCTGACCGTAGTCTATGACTACTTGGTCGAATCGCTTTCGTAGGTCATCACATTGGCCTTCTAGCTCGTCAGTGTTACCAATGCCAATCTCAATTTCGCTACATAGTTTGTCCTTAAGCTAAGCGATTCGCTTCTTGTACTACTAGGCTTTTGCTTCGAGCTGGTCGATCTCCTTTGCATGATCTCGTTGTGTCTTCATCTTCATCGCCTCCTAAAGCTACACTTTGGAGAGGAGAGTATCCAAGCTATGCGGGGTGCCCTTCAGGGCCCAGGTCCTAAGCTCCGTAGGGTTTTTCAGCTGGACAGTCGTCTTTTGATCTCGTCCCAGTATGCTCCAAGCGGGGGAACTAGTAACTACAGCAAAGAGTTAATAATTTCTAGCGCTCGACGAAAGCCAGATGATCTTAGCATAGGACGAACTCATCCTAACATTCCTAGGCAGGATTGAAGTGACTATAGCGTAGGGTTAATCATTTCTAGCGCTCGACGAAAGCCAGATGATCTTAGCATAGGACGAACTCATCCTAACATTCCTTGACAGGATTGAAGTGACTATAGCGTAGGGTTAATCATTTCTAGCGCTCGACGAAAGCCAGATGATCTTAGCATAGGACGAACTCATCCTAACATTCCTTGACAGGGTTAAAGTGACCATAGTAAAGGGTAGGCTATTTCTAGTTTCTCACAATTTTTGACCTGGCATTAGCGAAGGGAGGCTAAAATTTTCGAAGTTACTACATCTTAGACCCGAGGCCGTGCTACATCATATATCCTGGTAGCTATAACTTATAAGTAGGCTACTCTGATAAAGACATTCAAGTCTCAGGAAAAGCGTAGATTTATCGGCCATGGTAATAAGACTTGATGTAGGGATACCTTCCAATACTTAGGGTTAGTTATTGCTCCCCGAGTGGTCAAAGCACCCGCTCTTGTCCTATACCGATAGGACCTAGATATAAAAAGATACGAATAGCACTCGCTCGCTTTTAGGAATGTACACCTCCTAGCTATGTAGATTACCTCTTCTTTATATAATACTACTTTATAGTAAGGATATAACTAGGATCACATACTTCGATATGACCATCGCGTATTTGATAGGGGGAACTAATCTACCCCTTGTCTGTTAGAATTATATACGTAATAGTAGGCCGTAATAGGGAGCTAGATAATACTATATAAGCCTATCTACTAACCCTTAGATTCATTTTCAACATCGCGAATCTACTCTCCTCTCCTGCTATTCTAACTTACTATCTTCAATATTCACCTTCGAAATGCGTTTTATCGCCCCTACTATTATCTTCGGGCTATTTAGCACGGCAATTGCTGCCCCTCAACCAGTGGACCAGACCGGCCAATCCTCGGACGTTTTCTTTCCAGGCAGCTCGACCTCGTCATGCTACTGCTGCCCAACTGGGGCCACCGCCGGCGGTATTGACGCTAACTGTTCACCTGCTAAAGAGGGTGGTAGGTGCATTGTTGGTGATGCTATAATCTGCTGCGACGTGCGCGAACAGGTAAGTATAAATCTAGTAGTATACAATTTACGATATATTATGCTTACCACGATCCGTAGGAATGTGAATACCTTACGACTGCGTCGGCCGATGGGAATACGGGGCCTTTGGATCTCAACGGCCTCCTGAATAATATCGTTGACGGGCTTCTTTAAGCGGAAAGCTTTAGGCTAGCTATTATCCTATTCTTCGGACAGTACTAGCCTTCTCCGTCTTAGGATATCTTAGGTCGTTAGGCTTTTATACCTTGGAATAGGTTAGCTCTGAATCATGTGGCTTTTTGTGGTTTTGTTTGTGGATTGTCCCTTAATAGACAATCGTCCGCTCCTTTGTACCTAATTATTTTAGAAAGCATTAGCTAATAATATCTCACCAATTCTGCTTTCTGACTGCTTTAGCTGAAATATACGCCTTTTAGAGGTTACTAATAACTAGGCGCTATCCGAAGTTTACTTACTTCTAGAGGTTCTTTAGCCTTTAATAAACTTGTTCTCGCCATAGAGTAAATATATATTTCCATAGCAAAGTAAAATAGAACAACAAAAACTCACCTCTATCCCCTAAATTCCCAATATACTCTGAAAATAAGATTTATACCGCAAGCAAGAATAAAGGTAATAAATATTACTTAATATAAGACTATTTTTCAAAATTCATTAAGGAATAAGATATGTAAATAACGCTGGTAGTATGGTTAGGATTAATGGTAAATATATGTATTTTTTCGTTCTGAAACATAAATTAATAAGCTGTAGAAGAGGCAAATGACCACCTCCAAATAGACGATTGAGCGAGAGTTATACTAGTGCGAATATCCGCAAAATATCCCTATATCCTCACGAATATCTATGGATATCCTTCTTGAGGATATAGTATAGAAGTAATATCCATCCTCAATTTGCGGATATGGTATTGGAACCAATATCCAATAGAGAGGATATATTGTAGTCTATGTGTGGATAACTAGTACCAGGTGTTACGATGATGGAAAAGAGCCAACTGGAAAGGTGAACAGGTGCATTCAACCACACAACGAAAGTGAAGAGAGAAGAAACTATGGAGGTGGTGTCTACTGTTTTGTAGAGAGCTTCCATACAAATAGGCCCCATCTGGTTAGTCCGGTCAGCTGCTCCCCTCTACCACACGTCTGTCAGGTGATCTCCAGGTCCATCGTTCTGTCATGCGTCACACCAGGTGATTTTTACGAATACTTTACCAATAAGGCAGATTTTATTCGTACGGATATTATATAAGCGTCAAGGTTTGTTCGTATTCGTCAAGTGATTATTCGTGTGCACCCCTAGTTAGAAGATCCTCGTACATTTGCTGTCTTTCCTCCTACAGTTCTAGTATTTATTCTATGTCGCAGAATACTACAAGTTGGAAGTTACCATACACAGACCACCCAGAAGTCATTCCGTGTGACCTAGACTGAACTATACAGCATTCTGACCACTCCGATACATTCGATTATATTTCCTATTTTGTATTAGTCGAGTTCTCGCCCTTTAAATTGTCGGGCACATCCAGCCTTGGTTAATAAGAGAGATCTTTATCATTCCATTACATGATGGGAGCTGTACGCGCATAGTTCAGAAATATGATAATGGTCAATGTCGCCGATCAATCTACTCTCCTGGATTACCTCCTAGGTTCCAAACTACGTGCTTTAAATATGCGAGGGGACAACATAGTACCTGATTAGCCGGATAATATGACCGACCTCTTGTACACCGTGTGATATAAAATGGGACTCCCCTTGTAATTGGCGGTTCACAAATCCCACCAATCGCCTAACCATGCGGCTTTCCAACCCTAGCTAGTAAGGTTAAACAAGAAAACAGGAATATGCCACTGGTCCTAAATAGGCAGACACCACATTATAGTTAAATTGTTCCTAGGGAAAGCTAGTACAAGAGTCATGCCTTCATTTGCCCTTGTATTATTCTCCGACTGTCGAAAGAGCATGCAGGTCACCCAGACACCAAATAAGGTTCACCTGGACACCATGCTATACCCTTTTAGGAAGGAAGCTGGTTTGGTGTCCAGGTCAGCTTGCTGAGGAGAGTGGGGCCCCCGCTGTCCAGGTGAGTTTTTTCCGCTGTCCAGCCGACCTGCAGCCAGCTGTCGAAAATAATACTATATAATAAAGCAAAATAAACTCTAGGTCAAATAATAGCTCCGCATTGCGTCCATGACTAGTCAGTGATTCAATTACCGATAGGGTCCTTTAAGTTTAAGTATAAACCCCACTAGTTCGTTCATGGTTCATAACAACGAATAAGCCGGCAGGTACAACTGCACTAATTTAGCTATTACTAAGGATAGTGAACATATCTTGGTTAGATCCAAAGAACACTGCATCAGTAGCCCTTATGAACGCCGATTTAGTAAGTCATATTATTGCCGGGAATAGTGGCTTCACTAGTTGGCGATAAGCTACTAAGTGTGGTGCGGCAACATACGAGAACAATAAACCGTCACGGTTAGTAGCATCGGTGTCAACAATTATAGTAATAGCCTCTGCTGGTTTAGTAAAATTACGGTTACCGAATTGTCAGAGATGACTATAAAAGCTGTTACGGGAGCTGTGCCCTAAAAAGGATTAAGCGTATTAATCAAACCTGCCCTAGCGATGGACTGTAATGTCCCACCCATTGATCTAGACGTTGGAGTGATAAGACTTGGTGGCGGCTAGCAGCTAAAGCCAAGCGACCCATTTTTGCTACTTGAGTAGTAATATTGATTGGAACTGCGCTAGAAGCGTGTGTACGTATGACCGTATCTACTTTAGTATCATCAACAATTGTGAAGCTAGTTGTAGGAGTGGTTCCAAATCTAATACCAGTGGTACCTGTGAGATAAATGCTAGAGATAATAACAGTGTTACCGCCGGCTATGACGTCTATAGTAAGAGACAGATGATTACAAAATCTCGGTATTAAAGTTCATTAGAACCTGTACATACAGTCACTTGCTGAACATAGTCATGGGTCCAGGTCACATCAGCGTGAAGAAATAAGGAAGTCAGACCAGGGATGCGGCAACATTCTAATGCATATCCACACGAACCATAGTCATGGGGCCAGGCTACTCCTGCCTCAGCGTAAACTAACGGGGAAGTCAGACCAGGGATGCGGCAACATTCCAATGTTTACTAGCTCAAGCCATTCTCATCCAAATAGACAAACTGGCTCATATCATGCGGCTATTGAAATGTAGGCCTGATTGTGGCTATTAACATTCTTATGCGTTTATTATTTATTTTCATGTGTATTTAAGAGAATGAATTCCCAGGTCCATGTCTACTGAACCTCAAAAGTGAGTTTGCTTCCACTTACACAACTACATTTTTCTCTCAAGTTTTAACTACCCTGATCAATAATGTCGGGGAGACCTCCTGTCGTCAGCAGTGTGAACCCCACTAGTGGCCCTGCTGCTGGAGGAAACGCGGTAACCATTGTCGGCTCTGGTTTCACGGGTGCTACGGCTGTGACATTTGGCTCCACTGCTGCCGCATTCACTGTGAACTCTAACACTCAGATAACGGCTGTTACTCCCCCCGGCCCCTCTGGTGGCGGCCCCGTTGCTGTCATTATCGCTAGTCCTGGTGGTACTAGCGGGGCTGGCGTTAACTACACCTATGTAGCTACGCCCGTCGTCAGCAGCGTGAGTCCCACTAGTGGCCCTGCTGCTGGAGGAAACACGGTATCAATTCTCGGCTCTGGCTTCACCGGTGCTACGGCTGTGACATTTGGCTCCACTCCTGCGACCTTCACTGTGAACTCCAACACTCAGATAACTGCCGTTGCTCCGGCTGGGCCTTCCGGCGGTGGCCCTGTTCCTGTCGTTGTCACTGGCCCTGGTGGTACTAGCGGGGCTGGCGTTAACTACACCTATGTAGCTACGCCCGCCGTCAGCAGCGTCAGTCCCACTAGTGGCCCTGCTGCTGGAGGAAACACGGTATCCATTATCGGCTCTGGCTTCACCGGTGCTACGGCTGTGAAGTTTGGGTCTACTGCTGCGACCTTCACTGTGAACTCCAACACTCAGATAACTGCTGTTGCTCCGGCTGGGCCTTCCGGCGGCGGCCCTGTTCCTGTCGTTGTTACTAGTCCTGGTGGTACTAGCGCGACTGGCGTTAACTACACCTACATACCTACGCCTGTCGTTACCAGCGTGAGTCCCACTGCTGGCCCTGCTGCTGGAGGAAACACGGTATCCATTATCGGCTCTGGCTTCACCGGTGCTACGGCTGTGACATTTGGCTCCACTCCTGCGACCTTTACTGTGAACTCCAACACTCAGATATCTGCTGTCGCTCCGGCTGGGCCTTCCGGCGGCGGCCCTGTTCCTGTTATTGTTACTGGTCCTGGTGGTACTAGCGCGTCTGGCGTTAACTACACCTATGTAGCTACGCCCGCCGTCAGCAGCGTGAGTCCCACTAGTGGCCCTGCTGCTGGAGGAACCACGGTATCCATTCTCGGCTCTGGCTTCACCGGTGCTACGGCTGTGACATTTGGCTCCACTCCTGCGACCTTCACTGTGAACTCCAACACTCAGATAACTGCCGTTGCCCCGGCTGGGCCTTCCGGTGGTGGCCCTGTGCCTATCGTTGTCACTGGCCCTGGTGGTACTAGCGCGTCTGGCGTTAACTACACCTATATACCTGCGCCTGTCGTCAGCGCCGTGAGTCCCACTAGTGGCCCTGCTGCTGGAGGAACCGTGGTAATCATTGTCGGCTCTGGTTTCACCGGTGCTACGGCTGTGACATTTGGCTCCACTCCTGCGACATTTACTGTGAACTCCAACACTCAGATAACTGCTACTGCTCCTGCTGGGCCTTCCGGCGGCGGCCCTGTTCCTGTCGTTGTTACTAGTCCTGGTGGTACTAGCGCGTCTGGCGTTAACTACACCTATATACCTGCGCCTGTCGTCAGCAGCGTGAGTCCCACTAGTGGCCCTGTTGCTGGAGGAACCACGGTAACCATTGTCGGTTCTGGTTTCACCGGTGCTACGGCTGTGACATTTGGCTCCACTCCTGCGACATTTACTGTGAACTCTAACACTCAGATAACTGCTACTGCTCCTGCTGGGCCTTCCGGCGGCGGCCCTGTTCCTGTCGTTGTCACTGGCCCTGGTGGTACTAGCGCGTCTGGCGTTAACTACACCTATATACCTGCGCCTGTCGTTACCAGCGTGAGTCCCACTGCTGGCCCTGCTGCTGGAGGAAACACGGTATCCATTATCGGCTCTGGCTTTACTGGTGCTACGGCTGTGACATTTGGCTCTACTCCTGCGACCTTCAGTGTGATCTCCAACACTCAGATAACTGCTGTCGCTCCGGCTGGGCCTTCCGGCGGCGGCCCTGTTCCTGTTATTGTAACTGGTCCTGGTGGTACTAGCGCGTCTGGCGTTAACTACATCTATATACCTGCACCTGTCGTCAGCAGCGTGAGTCCCATTAGTGGCCCTGTTGCTGGAGGAACCGTGGTAACCATTCTCGGCTCTGGTTTCACCGGTGCTACGGCTGTGACATTTGGCTCTACTGCTGCCGCCTTTACTGTGGACTCCAACACTCAGATAACTGCTACTGCTCCGGCTGGGCCTTCCGGTGGCGGCCCTGTACCTGTCTTTGTTACTATTCCTGGTGGTACTAGTGCCCCTGGCGTTAACTTCACCTATATACCTGCGCCTGTCGTCAGCAGCGTGAGTCCCACTAGTGGCCCTTTCATTGGAGGAACCACGGTAACCATTCTCGGCTCTGGTTTCACCGGTGCTACGGCTGTGAACTTCGGCTTAACTCCTGCCACTTTCACTGTGAACTCTAACAATCAGATAACTGCGGTTTCTCCCGGCGGCACTGCCGGGTTCACCTACTCTGTCCTTGTCACCGGTCCTGGTGGCAGTAGTGGCCCCGTCTTGGCTGCGAACTTCGACTATGTGTGAGGACTATAGTCCCCGGTGGCCAGTATTGTATTCTGAATGGGCCAATCAGAAGGCTTGGAAGCAGGTGCTATTGGTGACGTATGACATGACGATGGACACGGAGATCACCTGATGGGCATGTAGGGGATGAGAGCAGCTGACCGGACTAACCTGACGGGGCCCATTTGTGTGCAAGCGCTCTCTACATCATAGCTGTCAGCACCTCCATAGTTTCTTCCTTCTTCACCTTCGTTCTTTCGTTGAATGCACCTGATTACTTTCAGCCGGCTCTTTCCTTGATCGTAAAACTATTTGAGTGAAACGGAGGTAGGAGATACACCAAACGTACGAGGATCTTCCAACTACTGGTGCACACGAATAATCACTTGACCAATACGAATAAACCTTGTGTCACTCAAAAGTTATACAATATTCGTACGCATAAAATCTGCCTTATTCTTAAAGTATTCCTAAAAATCATGTAGTCCTAGTTGTCCATACATGGACTGCGACATATTCTCTCCATTGGATATTTGGTCCAATACCATATCCGCAAATTAAGGATATCCATGGATATCCGCGAGGACATGAGGATATTCTGCGGATATCCGCACTAGTATAACTCTCGCTTAATTATCTATTTGGAGGTGGTCGTTTGTGTGAAGGGCTGTAGCCGATTTGATTCAATCTAACTAGGCCACGAACTGTTTACAACAATCTTAGGGAAAAGGGAAACAAAAGGGGCTAGGCCTGTGGCACAACCTCCGCAATAAAGCGTGATCAAAAGATTATTGTTAAGGTGGGCTTATTAGGGAGCTAATACGAGGGCAGCACTAATATTACTTCCTTCTAGAGCCTCGTCAGAGACCGCGAACAATGCCTAGTCAGAATGCGGTGTGCCCCAACAGTTGAGTCAGCATACATCATCCCAAATAGATTCAGTAGAACGTCCGTGCGACCTCCCAGGAGTGAATTCTGGGATTAGTTGCGGAACTACTGGGGCCGTACCCAAACGGAGAAGGGGGAGGCCGAGCTGCTACTGGGCTATACCATCAACACCGAGTTCACTGCGAACATGATGACCCCTAGCAAGCAGGCCTATGTATATTGGGGATGTGCAATGTGTGCCTTTCGTCCGGTTTCGGTGAACAAGGCTCAAACTGTGATGTATATTGCCTTGCATTGGTTACCAATGTTGCCACCCAGTGTCAAGCGAAGTGACCATGTTTCGCCTACCGAGAAGTTAGAACCCATTTGGTGGGCGCACACAAGAGTTCACAACTCTCCCTACTGCCAGGATTGGTATCTATAACTGGGAGCGAAAAGTGGAAATGCAATCAGGCGATATCATCACTGTTACCACGGATGACCCACTAAATCGACCTCTCCCTTTATGGGACCTGCTTCTCCTCATGTGGCACCTAACAAGGATCGCAGCGATGCAGGGAGCTAGGGAGGATTCAGATGATGATCTTCCATCAGATAACGATATGGATCCAATTCCCTCAGGGACTAAAACGACTATAACGGGCAGGAGACAAGTTTTTCCCGGTCGGTCGCCAGCAGCTCCGCGGATAGGTACTCCACCCCGACTACCGATTCGCCCTGTGAGTGAGGAGAAGGGAGTCTCGAAGGTTGCTCTAGAATCGCTATCACCCGAACGAGAGAGAGCGAGATCTTTGCAACCGGTAAAGCGGAGTTTGTCAGTCAGGTTCTATCCTGGATCTGGACCCTTTCGGCTGCAAGCGAGGTCGGCCAACCCGGAAGGACGAAGCCCTTATATCGAATTGGGTGAACTTGCTTTTCCTTTTGGTACTACTTGTTACGATGATGGAAAAGAGCCAACTTGGAGGTAACCAGGTGCATTAAACGAGACAACAAAGGTGAAGAAGGAAGAACTATGGAGGCTCTGTCAACTATCTTGTAGAGGGCTTATGCAAACAGGCCCCACCGGGTTAGTTTAGTCAGGTGCTCCCATCACTCCATGTCCATTAGGTGATCTCTGTCTATCGTTCTGTCATGCGTCACACTACTCCTATGATCCTAATCATTAATTCAACACCCTTATGTAGCCTCGTCGGGAGTCATCATGAATACTACTCTATAGGCCACGCTCATGCTCGTATTCCTCCACCAATCCCTACTCCTACCCCTACGAGCGAAGTTGTAGATTATATATAGATTAACGAGGATGAATGCAAAATGGCGCGAAGATAGTCTAGACGATAGTTAGAAGAACCTATAATTCTCGATATCCGTTCATCGGGGTAAATGCAGCCACTACAACAGAGGATAAAGCAAAGGAACAGAACGCAGTGTAATTCCAGAGAAGGACCGTTAGTGCCACTACTAGGGCTACAGATATTCCCGTTCCCACTTCTGCTTCCACATCACCTCGCATTCCTCCAAGTCACGGGCATTGGCGGCAATCCTCTGAAGCACCCGTGCTTCCCAGGTGTCAAGTTCGATCCTGGACCGGTCAACCTCCCCTTTCTCGACAGCAAGACGTGCCCGTTCCTATACAAGGTCGCGATACTTAGCATCGGCGGCCAATGCAATTTCTATGCTAGCTATGCCGGGCGGGGGACGCACCACCTTGGGTCGTAGGGCCGGGCTTGAGGCAGGCATCTGCTGTTCCAAGTTGGAGCCGACGACCCTTTCAACCGTCTCCGCCCCTACCTAGTTCAGACCATCCCGCTTTTTAATAGCACCCTTAAGGAAACCGGCAAGGTAACGGGGACTCCCACGACTGGCCTTCTTCACGAAGTCGTTATTCTAAATGGGAGGAAAACAACTCTTTGACAAAGCGCGAACTACCGAACTAGTGTGCTGCGCCTGTCGCAGTGCCTATCATTTTGCTCATCAGACCAAGACAAATCCATTGATCCCATTTTTAGCCAATTTCCGCTCCGTGGTCGACCATGGTAGGCGGAAAGGCCAAAAAGGGGTCGAAAAACTAATGGCCGCAGCCGCCCGACGGTGAAGGCCTTGAGCTACGCGCCCACGCAGGAGCTCTTTTGAAGACAACTATGCAGTTGAAAACGCTCTGCAGCGACGGCGGACTGCTATCACCGGAGCGCTTCGCCGCGTATCTCGACGTCGTGATCTCCCTGACCTCGAAGATGCGCGACGACGACGTGCTGGCAGAGCTTCAGCGCATACGCGCGCTACTCAACGATTTTAATCGGAAATACACCGCCATGATCATTAAGCTGCAGCATGCAGTGACTACCCAAGCCACGCTGCTCTCGACGGCCAGGCCTGGCGTTGCCAGCGGCTCTCTGCCCCCTGGCCACGCGACCGGTTATCGTGATGCTGTTATGGCCCACGTGACTAATAGCCAGTCCTCGCTTGTGTCTGGATAGCTAGCGAGATGGACTATCCCTAGCAACGACCTAAGCAATGACAGCAGCTGCCCGGCCGCGGCGCCGCTACTCCGCGAGGACCTCCAAATCGTCGTTCGTTCGACCGATCCGCAGATTGTTAATCCCCTACGACACCAGGGGGCCGCTAAGGTTGTCAGCCACGCCAACCGGTCTATCCAGGAGACCGGCGTGGCCGACCACTCCCTAGTGTCATCGGGTAGAGCGCTCCTGAGCGGGGATATCCTGATTCGGGTGGACCGGCTGGAGCACGTCAGGACTCTGCATGAAAACGAACAATGGTGTGAGGTTTTCGGCGCCGACGCGCGTATCCGGCAGGCCACCCACGCGGTAACCATGAATGGCGTGCGTTGCGCAAGCTTCGACCTATACAAGGATACTAGGGCGAAGGCTACGATCCGCGCGGCCAATGTGGGACGTCTCCTAGCGGACGCAGAGGTCGTGAGGGTCGGCTGACGATAGAAAATGGAGGAAACGAAGCCACAGTATGCTATACTGCTGGTCGAATTCAACAGCGCTGAGGCGGCGAATTGCGCAATTCGCCAGGGGCTCTCCCTACATAGTAAGCCCCACGACTGCCGGTATTTTCGATGGCAGCCATCGCCTGTAGTAGTGTTTCCGCTGCTAGGATTATAGCCACATCGCCCACAACTGCAAGCGCGAGGCCCACTGCGCATATTGTGCGCAAGGCCATAATACATAGGACTGCACGCGTGCCCGCGACCGTCGCCGGGTAAAGTATGCTGTGTGTATCAAACACAACAGACCCAAGCCGAATCACTTCGCTTTCGACCGGGAGTGCCTAGTGAGAGGTGAAGCTATTGCGACAGTTTCCAACCACCGCAGCCAGGAGCCTAAGCTCCACCAAGAGCCCCTTTGGTCCAGTGTCGTACCATCCAACAAGATCTCAACCCCATCGATGCCCACCGCAGAAACGCACCCCACACCTGCCGAATCCGCCAGAGCAAGACGCGCCACCGGAGCGGCGAAGCAGGCCGCAGAGGCCTTAGAGACACAGAAGACGGCAGAGACACTGGAGATTAATAGGGCCCTAGCCAAGATAGGAGCTGTCGTGGTCTCCCACAGGAGCAAAGACCAAGACGAGCGACGTTACAAGCGGAAGGCCGTCGAGGACTCCGCCAGCGAAGAGGAAATAGATACTAATCTTCAGCTCCGGCAGACCGAGGCCGCTCAGCCTGCTCCTAACAGAATCAGGGACATCCTGCTACTCCCAGCTCCGCCAATGCCCGCGGTCCCACTCAGCAGCCCAGCGCTGCTTGATCCGCCGCCGCATACGGCCCTTAGCGAGGCTGGCCAGTAAGGGGCGCGGGTGGTCGGACGGAGGTTGATCCGTGCCGCCCCCCACACCTCCCGTCGCGGCTAACTTTGCTTCAACGTCTGCCTTCTCATTGCCAGGCACGCCCACGTGTGCGGGGATCCATCGGATCTCGACGGGAATCTTGTCGGACGTGGGCGTGTGCGATCGAAGGGCCCTAACGTAATTATAGATGCTGCTGAGCATGTATTGGCCCGATGATCGCTTGAGATATTGCACTGCCTGGATAGCAGCCTGACAGTCAGAGAAGATGACCATCAATCAATCAATATTCTTATTCCCGATCTAGCTTCCTATGCTTCCAGGTGCTATGCGGGGATTTGTGTTTCTGGTGTCCAGCCCAGTGCGCATGCAAAGCTACCCGCAGCGAGGTCAGATGGCTCATTGCCGATTACACCAAAGAAGGTAATGCAAACGCGACAGACAAAAACATAAACAGGACAAACGAAAGTGGCAGAAAAGAGAGCCAGGGAGTCACCGCCCCCGCGGTCCCCACGTCCCCGCGGCTGTCCTCAGGCAGCGTTGGTAAGGAGATCTCCAACGCTGCGATCAAAAAGCCTCATCAGCAGCACCGCGCTATATGCACCCATGGACTCAACAGGTCAGACCCCAGCGGTCTGACCTTCCAGCGTCTGACACCCCTTCGGCCTGTATCACCAAGCCAGCACCCTCTGGCCTGCATCACCGGGCTGACTTCCCTCCTCCTTTCCTCCGTCCGTCGGCATGCACTCGAATCACCGAGTCCTGAATCACCTGATTGCCGTTCCGCTGCGCTGCACCACTTCTTGCTTCCGACTGGCAGGCCTGAATCACCAGGTTCTCGGACCTGGCCCGGTCGGTGGCAGAAAATTCTGTCTCCACCGGTGCACAAATGGCATTTCCGGCGCACTCACAACCGCCATCGTCGATAATGATATCAAACCGGTATCAAACAATAGCGCTTGGAGATCGTTGGAATTTGAACTAGGTCTTGAGATCCTAGGACCTCTGGTTGTCGAGATATCGCAAGAAATCGATTTCGCTAAGAGATAGTTCGTCTTTTAGTACTAGAGAATCGAAAGCGCAAATTGAACGACAGCCTGAAGGTTGCCCGCAAACGGTTGAGAGAACATGGGTCATTCGACGCAAGTTTCTGGACGCAGTCGGCACGCGTTGAAGAAATTGAAAATGCCAAATCGGATGTACAACGGAGGATCTCTTTACAGAACCTTGGAGGGAACGAGACCAAGTGGCAAAAGACAGACGAGGCCAAAGCCGTCTTTGAATGAATCAAAGCTCAAGAGCAAGCGAAGAAGATCTGCGACCTACGGATCAGAGACCTTGATCCCAAAAAATCTCGGACAGGCCTCCGGGCGGCGTTTAGGGAACTCTTCACCACTAGCAAAGCAGGACTAAATATTTTAACTCCTGGAGCCGGCCGCCGGGATTTTTGACTACAGTCAGCTTTCCGATCAGACATGATCGAGAAATACAATGCCAAACACGACTCAGAAGACTTTCTATCGTGCCCGGTTCTTAGAGCTTGGTGTTTGAGCGACCATATTGTCGCGGCTCATCTTTCCGCCTGTATGCACGGCCAAGCTACTATGGATGCAATTTTTGGATCCCGAAGACCGCCGGAGCTCTTTTCCCGTCGCAATGGTATCTTGATCTCGTCATTCATTGAACGATATCTCGATTGCGGAAAGCTGGTTATTGTGCCAGATCTGCCGGAGCAGCCAAGATGGCCCATTTACTTGCTTGGGAGAATAGCGACGTTCGTGTGACGCATGACATGAATGACGATGGACTTGGAGATCACCTGACGGACGTGTGGTGGAGGGGAGAGGGGAGCAGCTGATCAGACTAACCAGATGGGGCCTGTTTGTATGGAAGCTCTCTACAAAACAGTACCTCCATAATTTCTTCCTTCCTCACTTTCGTTGTCTCGTTGAATGTACCTGCTTCCTTTCCAGTTGGCTCTTTTCCATCAT